CAAATATTAATCCATCGAATGAAATCATTACAGCTACATTAAATGATTTAACAGATATGGCACGTGATGATGATCAACATGATTTACCAACAACAAACAATTTCGAACCAATATCCCCAGCTGATATTCAAGCAGATTCAACACCAAAACGACAAAAAACATTAACGAAAGCAGAACGTCGACGTATCCACAATCGTACGTATACTTTGAAACAACGTAAACGATATTGCAAAACTGAAATTATAGTTTCTAATATTGATCGTCGATTTACAATCAAAGAAATTAAAGGAATTATTAAATCTTATAGTGTTCCATATTCTGCGGTAAATTTTTCCACTTCATCAAATACTCGAAAACGATCAGTACATATTGGCATACGGAATCCATCACAACTTAATGATTATCAAAATCAAATCGACCATTTATTTACACCTTCGCATTACAATCGCTTCATTGATGATCAACGAACACATAGATCTAGGGATGTGCAGTTTCAGTTTACTGATGACTGCCAGCACCGGTATACTGAGCACTGAGAACTGACTACACTGCACTGACAATACTGTCACTCGGTCTAAACTGACACCGAAAACGCTGATGCACTGCTACTCACTGAGACACAGGCCTTCACCGACCACTGAATACGCTGATATCGGTGTTCAGCAAAACGCTGACACATCGATTTTGTCTTAATATGCATATAGTATGGTTTTATTTATAGTTCTCAAGAAAAAAATAGTAGAATGAGTGTTTTGGTAGTGCTTAAAACGGTATGCTGTAATAATGTCGAAAGGAAAAATATCGAAAGGAAAAATGTCGAAAGGAAAAATGTCGAAACGTACATATTAAAGCGGAAAAATGTCGAAAGTGAAAAATAAAAAAATAATGATGTCTCCAGTATATGGCGATTCTAATTCCATTTAGTTCATTGTTTATTCTTATAATTTTACTAGTGTAGAATTTTAGCCAGTATTGATAGGGATGACTAACTATTAATACAAGTAAAAAGAAAGAGTTGAACAAAGAATTATTATATAACTAAAATTGTACTGTCATGGCTGAAGCTTTCGTAACTTTAACTAGTGAAATTCAAGCAAAATCTCCTTCAATTTCATTTATAAATTCAAATAAAGGAAAACCTCTACTNAAATAAGTCACAAATATTGAAAATTTTTTGTATACACGTAAAACATATTGCCAAGAAAACAAAATGAATCATTTTACTTCTTAATCAGAATAGCTTCAGAATAAATCAAATTGATTTTCGTTCTAATTTTCTATGCTGACATCGCTTTGACAATTTTTGATAAATAACAACTATGAACCTCACACCCGATATTAATTCTGGAAGAGTCACACTTGCGTTCTAATAAATGAAAAGAACTGAAGTAATGCAATGACAATAAAAGTGCTATTTTTAGTCCAGTTGTTAATTTCTCTACTGAACGAAGCCAAAGCCTGATAAACGCATAATTCGAACCTGAGAATAATTCGTTGACCTAAATAAAGTATTCAAAAAAATTCATTTCCATCAAGTTTAGATAGGACGAAATCATCCTCACTCACCCTCATACTTAACTCAAACATCAAAATAAGATAACCAACCTATTATTATCCTCATGATGCTTTCGTATAGGATATGGAAGAAATGTTCAATTTCCTTAAAATAGTCCTCGTTTCATCAACAAACTGAGACCAGATACGAGTTCCTCGACCCCGAAAATCTTTGGTCAAATTTATCTCTGGAGATATGGTGAGAATTTAGTTAAGATTGTGCATCTGCTTTTCTATTGGACGAACGGAAGACGCTAGCACACTTTTCGTATGATCCTTCTTGCGGTAGAGGGGAAAATATATACTCAGGATAAATCTACTTCTCGAGCTCTATCTAAGTATGCATGATTCAACTAGAAGATATTCATTTGCTTGACTTTTGAATCTATCATAATTTAATTATTAGTTAAGTATTACCAGAGCTGGGCAACTCAACTCAAAAAGCTGTCCAATTCAATTCAATTCATTGAAAGAAAAGTCAATTCAATTCAACTCAACTCGTCGATCTCTAAAGAACTTTTCCAACTCAATTCAATTCAACTCAACTCGTCGATCTCTAAAGAACTTTTCCAACTCAATTCAATTCAATTCGTTTACGTTGAAATCAACTCAGTCTTATTACGAAATTCTATGTAACAAATTTTGTTTTGGTTTACCATTAGTTGAACGCGTTAAAAAGAGTTTATTGTTCTTCTGTTCAATTCTTCTTTTAGCGGTTTATTTTAAACAAATCGAAGACGTTTCTCGAATTTTCTAAACTGCTAACCATCCTGTATGTTAACTTCATCACCGTACATTACATTATCTAACTAATATCATATCACTTCACCAAAACAAATACCATGTCGATGTTAACCATAGATAAACAGATGAATAGACATTTCACTTATGATTCGTAAGAATCGATATTGACGTCAGTGCATTGAAAACATTAGTAGATAAAACTAATAAATATGTCGAACAGATAAAAGAAGAAAATAACGGTAAACTTAAGGAATTTCCACAGAAATATAAATAAATATAAACAAATAAATATATATTGAAACGTGTAGTAAATCAGCCTCATCAAAACAAAATATTTGGATAAAAACTAAATCATAATCATGCACTGACCATTTCCAATTTAATTATATTAATCAATCATACAGAAAAATTTTACAAGGTTTTTTTGAGTTGAATTGAATTGAACTCATCGATCTTGAAGAAAAATTTTCAACTCAATTCAATTCATTTCAATTCTTTGGTCATAACTTTCTTTTCCAACTCAATTCTATTCAATTCACCAATTCAGAAAACATTCTCTCAATTCAATTTAACACAATTCATCAACTCTAAAAGCACATGTCCAATTCGATTCATTTCAACTCAGAAATTGAGTTGCCTAGTTCTGAGTACTACTAACGCAAATGGGACATCGTTAAGTGATAGTATAAAAAGCGGAGTGAAAATTCGCTCCAATTCTTGCTTACAACACGACAATTATTTTTAATGGAATATTCTTTGTTGTTTACTTTTTTTTTCTTCTACACCAACATAAACCTCTCTAGCATTTTCTCTTTTATTTTATTTCAATCGTGAATGAAACCTGTAAAAATACGGGGTTGTGTACGATCATATGGCAATTTTTTCTTTTTCTCCCTTATAGTTGACGAAATATTATGTTTACTTAGTAGCACTTGCGCAAAGTGTCGATCAAGAAAGTGAACAATGGCATTGTTTCTACCCGCAGGTATGCGATACAGTACTATTCGACGTATGGTGTATAGGTTTATACTTATATCGATACTGTCCATCGTCGCGTTACTTCTATACAACCAGGACCGAAGTTCGCCATCTACAACTGAAGCTATTACATCGCTACAGTCAAAAATACTTTGTAATCTACCTGCTGTTACTACAGTTGTCGATACGAAAAATGCAGGTATACAAATTACTTTCGTTATTTATTAGAAACAGTTTCTAGATGAAAGATACTCATATTTATTGACTCGATTAAAGCCTACGATACATTAGAAAAACCATAAATAATAAAATAATAGAAGACCGCCTTCTTTGATAGATCGAAGAAAAAGTATATACTATAAGACTCTTCTTAGCAAATCGTTTTCTTTTCAATATTCTAGTTCATTAAAAATGTCTAGGCTCTGTAGGAAAACTATTTGACTGTTGTCATGATAACGATACGTCAGTTATTAGGCAGGAGGATCTTGAAGAATAGCTAGCAGGAAGCAATGGTCTTTAGCAGAATGTGTTTTTTTTATTGAAATCATCTCGTGAAGTCATTTTAGAAGTTGTTGGTAGCTTATTCTGGAAAATTCGTGCACGTGTACTATACGAAAGAACATGCTCATAATCGTACAATATAATAGACTTCTGTCAATGTTTCATTGCATATTAATTAAATACCTTTTTAGCTTTGAATTTCTAGGAGAAATTCAGAAATGTGTTAATTGCAAAAGCAGTTTTTCATAATTGAAGAAAATTTAGCTTTATGTATGCTTGTTGGTGTTTATTCTTTGAGTACTTGTGACTCTGAGAATGCATTTCCTTTATTTATTCGACAGAAAGGCAATTTTCGAAACGGATACAAAGGAAAAACAGAATTATTGTTCAACTGCTGGTTTTATATAAATTCTTTCTGCACAAAACAACCATATTCATTAACACTGGCTTACAACTAAAACCTAACGTACGATGCAACAGTGAAGAGGCAAATGTTGATTCCTATTTCTTTTCATTAGAAAAGTACTGAAAGATAAAGTTTTATCTCCTCTTTCGCATTGTATATTCGACAACAAATTAATTTCATTTTTATGAATTCATAGAAAAAAAAACGTTTTGTGAAACGACAGTTAATTATAATTAGCTGCCGCTCACAAAAGGTTTTGACGAATTGTTTAATAAGGATAAACAGAATTGAGGATATCGGGTCATCTAATGTGCCGTGGGCTTTGGAGATTTGTTTATTATACGCCGAAAGAGAAAATCAAACATTACTGTATACTTTTCATTTAGAATAGTAGTTTTTCATGGCCCTAAGTTGAATAAAACACTGAGTCCAATCTTGTCAGAATGCATACGTATATATACGTCGGAGATATTCATCTCAGCTGAAAATCTGCTGCTGTTGCACCATCGCTGCCGTCGCCAACGGATTTCAAAAATGTTGCGCAAAACTATTGTTATCAAGGTAATCAACTAGTCCCCTTGCCACTCATTCATTAAATGCATTCACTCTTGGAGTGCTACATTAGTGTGGATACTGTTAGAGTGACGAAATTGTAACATAATTTTCTCTTGTACAGATTTTCGAGCCGATAGACCCTGCACGATCCTATAAACTCTCTGCTAGAATATTCAGTGTTTTTTTTCTTTCCATAAAAAATATTTATTTTTATTGAAAACAATATCGAAGAAAATTTTGATACCGTGTATTGTGGGATTTAGTGAATGGAATTTGCCTATAATCTAGTTTTTAATGTTTTTGTTCTACAATTTGAGGTGACTTAATTTGCCGACTCTCGGGTCACTGATCTGAATATCTCAATACTCTAAATATGCCTCTGCAAACTAACTCTCTCTCTCTCTCGTTCTTGCTAGCTTTTATGGTGCCACCACAGGACAAGCTATCTGTCAAGGATAATATGTTCAACTATCTGTCCAGTGACAACCACCTTCGTTCACTACTTACCAAGCAAGCCAATCAGCAACGTCAGGTTCTAGCAACAATTATGGGCGGTGATTCATATTCTCTGTTTACTTGGGATTGGTACGAACGTATGCTAGAACTATCGAGTGATGTCGGAAACTGTCATTGTTTCGTTATTGCCATTGACGAGATCGATGTTATACTTGCCATTAGACAAGGTGTACCTGTTTATTATTCAACTTTTTCGTTCGACGATCAGATACATTGGACAAACGTCATCGACGCTAAGCAACATTTACTTTACCGAGAAGGCCATGCCAAATTTCAAACAACGGCGAAAATTGTGCAAATGGGCTATTCAGTATTAATCTCGGAAACGGATGTGTTTTGGTGAGAATATATTTTCATTCTATAGAACTTGTAGAATTCGCTCAAGCGATATTGAAATAACGACATTTCATGTATTTCGTTTGAAGTATTGAATATTAGACTCAGCTAGTCTATCCAATTTTTCTAAGCATTGAATATATCTTTATGGTAATTTTGGCATAAACATCTTAATTCATGTTTTTGCTATAGGATGGCCAATCCATTTGATCAACTCAAGCAACCATTGAATGAATACGACCTTCAAATAAGTGATCACAGTGGCTCACATGCGCGTATTAATATCGGTATATTTTTTGCCCGTTCAACTAAAGCATCGTCCATATTCTTTGCCCATGTGGCTCAGTTTTGGATTCGCTATGGTAAAGGTACTTTTATCACTGACCAACGTGTACTCGATGCAATGCTAAACAATTACGATCGACTCAAACCCATTTACCAACAAGCATCAGGAAAAAAGTTATCGCCACCTCTTAATTGGACAACACATTTTTTCGGACATCAAGTATCACACATGATGGTCGACGGTGGTGCCTTCTATCTATTTAAACAAGCTGCTCAACTCGGTATGCGTTCGAAAAAGTTCTATGGTGGAGTGAAACCCAAATTTTTTACTGTCAACATCACTGATAAGTAAGCCACGTGCATTGTTTTTATTTGAAATGGTTGTTTTTCACTTTCTTTCGTTTTCCTCAGAGAGATGAAGATTAATGAACGCAATCTTATTCTACGTGCTCTGCTAATTTTACAACAATCTAAGTTACTCAATCGAATCCTCATTTTGCCCGCATTTACGGATAATCTCACTGTTACACCTCTGCCATCTCAACTTGATCTAAGAAAATTTCTTCTTTATTGGACTGAAAAAAGTGTTCGGTTACCAGATTTTATTTTTCTGGAAAAAAATATGTCTATACCCGTCACATCTACCTCGTTCGTGTCGGCCCAAAACTACGATGACATCGTTGGCATATTAGATCTATCATTAGACTCTATACCATTGAATTTGACGGCACCTTCACCAGAGTTCGAAGTGTCCATACGAGATTCCATGTTTTGGTGTTCACCACCGACAGGAGCCGATGCTCATTGCACACATCATTCGAGAGGTTTGACACTGACGTCAGAATTATTGTTCTCGTGTGGAGGTGATTCTAACTCACCATGCATCACTTAGACAATCATCAATCAATCATTTATTAAGAGAACAGTATCATAAAACTTTACAAGAACCATGAGAAAATTTTCTGTCGATTTATAGTTTGCTTAGTAATAATATTTGATATTTTTTCGAGATATAAAATCATTAAGCGGAGAGTTTTTCACTCAGTCAAGCACCATGCCAGGAACCGAAGAACGAAGCAAATTTTACTGTTTGTTTGATTTGATGTGTGCACCTGAATTGGTGTACCCTAAAATCTGCAAATCCAAAACATTAGCGTCTTCACTTTGAATAGATAAAATGTTAGTCTTACCAAACTATTGAGCACTGCTCGAATGCTACGATACAAATATTAAATAGTCCTTTTAAATAGTTGTAATTCACTACATTGGTAGCCAACTGATTAAAATTTTCTCCGATATACCAGGAGATAGTGTTCAAAATTATTAAGCGTTCGGAATTTGCTTATAATGATCTCGAGATGGGTGTGTGGGTGTGAGAGATGTTACACGTAATGGAAGACTCATACGCACGCCCAGATTCTTCTATTTGTAAATAATTGTGATCTACAATTCTGTAAGTTTCAATTCTCTTGCATTTCAGCTTCTAATTTAATCATATTCGTTGATGGTTTGCCGTATTGTATCATAAATAGGCAAAACAGACATTGTATGATTTGTTTGCATAATCACCCGTCGTCATTCGTCAGAAATGGAACCGGGACCGATCTATATTGTTTTCTTTCCCTTAGCTTATTATTTATGCTCTTTCCCGAATCCTTGTTGGCAATGATATAAAATGGCTTACAGATATGCTCAGCTAGTTTAATCAACACAACGTTTTGATCAGAAGCTTACTCAACTCTAGGTTCAATTTGGTAACTAGCTCGAATGGGAAATGATGCTTTAAATAGAAATAAATATTTTTATTCACTAAAGAAAGTTATTTTGTATCTATACTTGTTCCTCCTTTTTGCAGAATCACGTTCATAACTTTTGGAAAGGGTGTTGATTGAGCGTCTCAAGCTATTGCTATCATAACTTCATTCCTATTAGAGAACTCGTCTGATGACTCTGATTGCATACTAGTTCAGAAATGATGGGAATGGATGTGTAATAGCGGACGTCAGTGTGGGTATGTTGACGTGAATGTTTCTTAATAAAAGACACGTATTTTCACCAGCACCCAGTTGTCGCTGTTATATAAATTGAAATCGGTTATACCCAAACGTATGTTTTATCATTTGCGAGTTATGTCATGATTCAGGATAAAGGTCTCTAGATCATCCAGAACTGCGTTGGTAAAAGCCTGAGTTTTCTGTGTAAGACATAGTTGTCGATGTATTATAATTTATTTAAATGGTCTACCTACATATTCTTCACGTTAAAAACTTCGTAAATATCTGACTTAAATTATTTTGTCTGTAATTAAAAACTGATGGAAATGATAATGAAAACTAATAAAAGTGTTAAGCTCAGATTTTAGTCAGATTTTTCTGCCAATAAAAAAATATTCAATCGATTGTTTACTGTAAAACAATGGTTTCTGGGAGAATACTAGATTGCACTATCCATCATAAAAACTTTTTAGGAACATAGCCTGTTTAAATTATAATTAACAAATGCTATTATACCCAAAGAAAATTCGTTCATCACTTTTCACTGTGAGTGATCGGCACATGATTGTGCACGGCCGAAGGTAAATGGCTTGGAATTGATTAGAATGTTACAACATTTTTGACTGAATATTTTAAAAACTGCAATTCAGCGGCTACATACAGAGTCTGTCACATAGATGTAAAAAGTGAAGGGAAAAATTGCTCTGCTTCTGTTGAAGAATTATAAATGCCTAAAGAGGAATGTGTGTTGTAAAAAGAATTTCGATTCATAAGAAATTATTAATTGTGTAAAGAATAAGATTCAATCATAAATATGTTCACCGGCACACAAAATCAAAGACAAGATTATAAATATGATAAACTCTGCTAAAGTCGAAATTCGCATGAAATGATCTGACTCTTGCCGATCGATAAAACTTTTGGTTCAGGAGAACTAGAGTCTCAGGAGACTTATGTTATTAAAAATAGAAGAAAGATTTTCTTTTTCTTTTTCTTTTTACATATTGTTATTGTGATTTTATTCTTCGTAATTTTTAAAGCTTGCTAAGCCGAATACAATAATATATTAATAGTAATTTGCTTAACAAACAAATGCATTATTGACAATTCGTATTCTTTTTTTCTCTTCATTTCGCCAAGAGCTGTACAAAAGTCTCTCACTGTTAATTTTGCTAAACCAGCCTCATATCTAAAGCAAATGGACGACAAACAGTGTAGTATCTGGCTTACTTGAAAAAATACCTATGCCAAGCAAAATAAAGGTGATAAAAAGAATCAGAACGGGAGAAAACGGCTGCATGTATTTTTAACTCGGTAAGATTACGCTCCTTTTCCTATTTGTCATCTTTTTTCAATGAAAACTTCAAAGATGTTGCTCGTACTGCTCGACACCAGCTCTAAGGGGCCTACTCCTTGGATCGTTGTTCTTCGCTGTGGCTTTCGCAACTGCACTCACTGTATATCTGACAAAGTCAGGTAGAGTATGTTAAAATATTCGAAATGGTTAACCATCGATCTGACAGTTAGAATAATATATCAAGAAAAAGGATATACAGATTATGATCAAACATTGCAGATTTTGCAAGTTGAAAATGTGTATATTCAAATGACACTATTTCAAAACAATTCGGAGAGTAACAATTTCTATAGAATATATCCTGCTATACTCACTCTACAGTATATACAATGACGATACGACTTTCTAATGTGAAGGAGCATATTGACGCAATGATTCTATGAATATTTTGACATATTTAAGATTGCCTAATAGGAGTAAAAATAAATTGATGATATGACTTTTACCAAAAAGAAACAGAAAAGGATATGAAATTTACGACTTGTGATTGCCCAGATCTCTCTATCAAATTAGCTAAAGTAAAGTTTGATTGAAGAAAATACTTGAGCTTCTAAAAAATGTAGCGAACCAAAATTCTCGTGGACGGATGACTACCACAGAGACGTGCACAGGACATAATTTTCCCTCCTGTCCTTGCCTGTCCTGTTGGCTACTTTGATCCTGGTGGGCGGCAGGACAGAACAAAATCTAAATCTCATCCTGTCCTATAAGACAGGGCAGGACAGGATCGTCCCGCCCTGTGCACGTCTCTGGTTTAGATTGATGAAAGACGAGATCAATTGCAGTTCTGAAATCTACCGAGTCTGAAAATGTATGTTAACGAAATATTTATCTGGTTCAATATTTTTCGAAAAGTATGCATTTATTTATAGTAGCTCGAGAAATTATCCGCGTATTGCTTCATATCATATCGAATCATAGAAAAAAGATTGACTTAAAGCATCAGTACAACAACTCTTCGACAGCTGAGTCTCGAAAGAAAGTCTTATGTTATCTTTCAATAGGAAATATTTTTAAAAAATACAAAAAGGAATTCCGGACAACATCTGAGTAGAGTCAGTTTTCATTTAGCATTAAATATGAATTTGGTGATAAACAGAAACGCAGAAACTGGTCCTTGTGAAACAGGCTAGGACTTCAGTGGACCAATCATACATGTTGCTTACAGTAATAGTAGCTATAACGGTGAGCTCTCTACACCACCAGGATCTAGGTGAGCTAAAGATGAAGTGTTTCTTTCTCTAATGTTTTCTTTCTCAAGTACTCGTGGTGCATGGTACTTCTACGGTCAAATATCCAATTCCACATCAATGTGGCAGCCAATCGATTTGACAAACAAGGTTAATTCGGTTCTTATTGATAATGGGACGCTTCGATTTAATTTTTCTGCATGGCTTGGAGGTACCGATAATCAAGATGGTTGTGCTTCAGTGTTCCTGACTTTCGTCAGTCAGACAAGCCAGATGATTGGTAATTATATCAGAATTGGACCAGCACTTGCCACGAATCGAGGGAACATCACATCATTAATCTTCGAGCAGGCTAATGGGTTCGTATCTGTTGGTACTCGATCGATGACACTACTTGTCACAATGGCGCTGCTGATGACATCTCCCTCATTTTGTATTAGTAATCAATAGACGTAGATGTACTAAGTTATTTACTGAAAAATTAGACTTAACTAGGAACTAAGTTTCTCATGTACACAGCTACTTGTTGGACAAACGAACTGTCCATAAAAATAAAATAAAATTCGATCCGACAGCTTCAATATCGGACTGATTTTTTCTTTTAATATACGTAGCTTTACGACTTTTAAAGCCAGACAAAAACAAGAACCGCTGTGTTTCTAGTATCCAATCTGATAATAAAATATTAGAAATTCTCTCGAAAAATGTTTGCATACTATATGATCGATTAGAGATCTTTTCAAGCAATTCTATCATGTGTCTAGTCGACTGAAAAAGACATTTATGTAACTTACCCATATTCTTTATAGTGAATATGAGATATAAAGTCAATCATTATGAAAAATTCTCATATCTCAATGTGTTGCCATCTTTAAATTTAACGTTTCGACTGCGTCAAAACTTTTTATAATCTCATAAATTATGAATCTTTTACCAGCGTGCCTCACACTTATTTCGCACCACAAGCTCGTTGTCTTATGATTGGCGCAGTTGGATATTGTTCATGAATTTAAAAGAAAACCTGTATTTCTTCTTGAAAAAATCTTGTCAAATTGTTCCCTGATTGCTACTCGTTTATTAAGTATTGTTTACATGATATTGCATAAGAAAAGGACTTGTTTGGTCTTTGCAGTCAAATAAAGTAGGAAAAGGTTAGATAATACTGTGAGACTATATGTCATTTCTAAGTTGTTTATTATATCGTTAACATTTCTAAACAATCTTGAGGATGTGCTTATAGTACATATATTTTGTTTATTTTTTATTTATTATTTCCAAAGAATCTGATAGCTGATGGTATTTCTATTTCAAAGATAATCTTGTTGTTGTTTCTATTTCGCAGGAAAATAATAAACGATAAATAACAAGTGTTATGGTATCATCGAAGACGCATGAATAGACAATTTTTGTTTGACATCTGTTGTTTATCTTCTCGTTGCTATGCCGAAAATGTTTGTTAATGTTTTTCAATCATCATGATTATCAGTATTTCTTGTGAGATATTCAGTATGATTATTATTCTAATGTATTTCTTTTTCTAATCTATATAATACTCGAAATAATGAAAAACGAATGCGGACAATTAATTAATCATTGAGAAATAAGAAAATTTTCATAGGAAAACGCGACGTAGTTCTCCTCTCCTGCATCGATCTGCCCATGATCTAGATGTATAAGCCATTGATTTTTGTTTGTTTCTATGGTGCTTCGAATAGACGATTTTATTGCTTCAATGATTTTCACAGAATACTTGTCATGTACAAAACATAAGTACCGTTTATTTTTAGTTATTTCATGCTTATTTACCTGAGGGAATGGTTAAGTTCGGCTAAGAGAAGATATTCTTTGTTGTTGATGCTAATAAGTGTACTCGCCTTATTACATATGCACTTTCACAAATGATTATCTTCTTATTACTAGGTTACGATCGATTGTATTTATGGCTAATTTTATTCGTGTTTTGGCGAAAAAAAGATGATTGTTATTGGATCGCGAGCAAAATCATGACATTTTATATTTATTATTAGTCAATTATTTTATACGACAAAAACTAAAATAAAATAAAATATTGATATTACTTTTTCTTGTTATGATCCGTGAAGGTGTTCAATGAACACGATAAAAATTTTATTTCCCATGGCAATGGTTAAATTATTCATTATCCCGTATAAATTTATCAATATTAAATTGATATAGTATTAAAAAGAAAATGATTTATATTTCATCATTACATGATATTTGATCGTAATATATTCCATTCGACTTCTTTGCCGATTAATTGATTCAAGACAGAGTATATACTTGATCTTAGTGTAGGTTTATTTTATGCTTATAATTCATCGTCGAAAAATTCTTCTTTTTTCATTGATTTATTTTTCCCGTGTTACTTAGCAAAACATTAAACAATAAAATACTGTTTTCAATCGAACCACCAGATGCGTCAGTTTATATTATTGAATAGAACCCAATGTAACTATCTCTATTATATTGTCCGCTTGCCTATTAAACTATCCTTGCCGTTGTTCTATAGTTCACTCAACAAGTAGAATATGTCTAGAAGTTAGACAAGAAAATAAGAAAAGAATGTGAACTAATGTTGTGTCAACCGGAAAAGAACCCAATTAATGATACTTGTATACAGAAGCTCATTAATGATTATACGATAAAGTACTCAGATGTCTACAGTCGATAGTTAGATGGATCAGACAGGCTTTTTTTCTTGGTGCGAAAGGGTTCTTTTCTGCACAGAGAAACTGCCTAATTAATAGCAATGATATTTTAAACATTAAATATATCTCATTAAAATTTTTATTTTGTGAACTAAGTTTACCTTTCGACTAATTGAATCCCATCGGAGTCGTATACATCAGGAATGGAAGCAGCTTATGAGTTGATAGATCTATCAGCACGCATTTCTTCATGTTAACAATGCATTCAAAATCTTTGATGCATTAGACACATAATGAGAATTCGATCAAATTCTTTCGATGGAAAACCGCACTGTTTGCCACCGAGGAGAAAAAAATCAATCCAATCGATTGGAGTAAGTTGAACACGTCAAGTCATTTTCAATCGTATCATATTCAGTAAAATAAGGTTGCGAGATAAGAAAAACAATTATTTGTAATCTTAGCTAAAATTCGAGTAAAATGGGCAATTTATTGTATCGAAAAAACTTTCACATCGTTCAACACTTAACAGATGAAATAGTGCAAGCAGAACATCTTCATTTTAAATTACTCATGCTAAATGAAATAAAACAATTCGTTCGTTATGCAAAACAAACAGAGGCAAACTTCGCTTTTTTTCGACACAGCAAAATAAAAAATCAATAAAGCAAATAAAAAGAAAAAAAAAAGAACGAAACGTATGGCAAAGTAACACTGTTCAACTTAAAGCACTACAATACGACGTTCTCGCGTAGGTAATATAATGAATGATGAAAAAGAAAAAACGAAAGAGAGAGAGAGAGAGAGAACAAAGAGGATCAATCTAATTTATAATACACACGCACAAATACAGTAACTGATGACTAGGAGTTCTATTGCGTAATTTTAATTTGACGGTTGAATGCAGGTACACGATCATGTGGTATTGGTAATTCAACAGTAAGCGTTGAATCTTCACTCATTTTAGCACGTAAATTATTCACATCAACCCATTCTGGTAGAACATACTCACGCACATATTCACGGTTTATTTGATTACCACGTGTATTATCAATATGAACAGCTTGAACTAAATGTTAAATAAACTTCATAGACGGAGAGAGAGAAGAAAAGAAAAATAAACAATATACCTTTCAAAACATTATCATTAACTTTAACACTAACATCGTCAGGTTTATAACCGCTTAAGTCAAATGTAAGTTTTAGTTGTTGATCGGCAACTGAATATGAATCATTTGTACCGATACTAGTTGGTAAATTAAATTGTTGTGTTTGAAGTGTCGGTGTTAATGGCGGACGAATATCACGTACAGGGATTTGTATTGTTAGAATACCATCAGCACTTAACGTATTTGTTAATTTTTTCGCGTCAGCTCCATCAGGTAAACCTAGAGAGAGAAACAATAACGAAGAACAAAAAAAAACAACTAAATTTTACCTATTTCTCGTTTAAATTCTCGATGGTTTGCTCCGCGTCCATCGCGTTCTTGTCTTAAGGCACTCACTTTTAGCATAGTATCATTAACTTGTATAGCAATATCTTCTGGTAGAAATTCACTTAAATTAAATTTATATGTGACAAGTTTCGTTCCATCATTTCGGTCAATCGTCGATAATTCTGGTCGTGCTGTAATCGTTGAAAATGTAACAGGTGTTGGATTATTACTACTACCGACAATGGTAGATGCTGAACTTGTCGATGAATATTGATCACGTAATGGACTATTACGATGAAAATTAGTCGATCCAAGGCTACTATTACCGCCATTATTTTCTTGGCGAAATGAGGATGACGATGATGAAAATGAACTTGATTGATTATTGCCAATGCCAATATTTGCGGGTTGACGGCCTGTACTGAATGTTGTGTCGACAACTCGACCTGGACTAGCTTGACGAAATGTACTTCCCGATGTTATAGCTGAAAGGCCTGAGTCATTATAAACACGATCCATAAGTACTGGTGCTTCCATAGTAAGTTGTCCATCTTCGGATAAATACGATTGTAACGTTTTAATATCGACGAATTCCGGTAAAGTTAATTCACGATTAAATTGTTTTGATTCAGTTGCATTACCAACTTTAACTTGACGATCACCTTTCACAATTAACATTCGACCATCGATTTTGACATTGAGTTCTTCAGGACGAAATTCACCTGTAAAATTGAAAAAGGTTTTTGTGTAAAAGCTACTTTATCCTATTTTTTCTTCTTACCAATATCGAATTGAATTTTATATTTTTTTCGCCCATCGTTATCTTCTTCGATGAATGCACGTTGACCTGATGTACTCGGTGTTGAACCTAAGCCTGATGCAGATCCGCGAAATGTTGGCCAATCAACACCACCAAACTCGGGAAAATCAGGAAAATCAACGCGCATTCGTGGTTTCGAACTAACTAAAGATGTTGATGGAAATGCAGTAGGCTCAGTTTTTGGTTCATTGAAAAATTTCTCTCGCCATCGGCGACATTCTTCTTCAAAATCGCGCATACGTGTACTCATTCGATCGTGAATATCATTTGATTGTCCTTCCGATGAACGAAAACGTATGAAACGTTGATCATCGCTTGGATTTACCGTCACGGGTATGACAGTACGTGAATGAAGTTGATAATGATGATCGTTGCTCATCTTTGGTTTTTATTTTAATCTTGTGTCACCGATTTATTTATGTTGAATATGAATCTATCCGCATGTATTAAATATAATTCAAATCGATCACATCAATCAACAACGAATCTATAGAGAATATCTAAAATTGATGAATATATGAACGTTTACGTATATTTTTATAGATATAAATACGTATAGATACGTATCTAGATCGAGCAAAAAAATAGAGTGAAAAATGAAGGGATACGGAAACAGCCATACCGTCATGTCTGTTTATACCAACAGCAAAGTTTCTGCTGATGCCGCCGCCACTCTCTTTTTGGAAGAGAACCATCCTTTCTCCTTTCCTGTCTCTACGACACAAGCACTGATAACATATGTATAATCGATGCGCACGCCAACGCCAGTCGCTCCTACTGCGTCGTCTTCGCTGCATTTTTAGCTGGCTCGACCATATACTGTGTATGTTTAGTTATTTCCTTTTCTCATCTCATCGCTTCTCATCTCTTTTTCTCCTACCATCGATACAAACTCATACGCTGAGTATGACTACGAACGACAACGGTGTGCATAGATAAATATATATCTATATATATATATGCATGTACATGTATATGCATATGTGGCAGTCCGTTTTCTGGTTGATTTTCTTTCTTGCTTCCTTTATCTGCTTCTTTTTTTTCTTCTCTCTCTCTCTCTCCTTCTTTACTATCTCACAAAACACATTTACGTACAAAGGAGACCGATAAAAGAAAAGAATAGACTTTGCGTCGGAAATAGTTTGCATCATTTCTCTTTCTTTCTTTCTTTCTTTTCTTTCATTCGTGTTTCTTCTTGTTCTTCTTCTGTCTGTCTGTCGGTCTTTCTCTCTAGTATGTCTCTTTATTTTCATACTCAAAACATGTAGCTGCAAGAGAAAAAAGAAAGCATTACTCTATTATAACAAATACTAATTCTGATAATCTATGACAGGTATAGACCATGGTCATCGGGCATATCAAGACATAATCATACATTAACGATTGCTATGTCAACAAGCTATACAGCCGTTAGCCAATATCGCTTTAACCCGATCTAATAGTCGATAGACAATAGAAATAGAATAAACATAAGTGAGAGGTCAGCAGTTCTCTTTTTGCTCTCTCTCTCTCTCTCTCTCAGAACAATAACAGAACAAACATAGGAGTATATAAATGGCGATCATTACCCTGGTTTAAGCATTTAATTTAATATAATAATCGTTATCGGAGTATTGCATCATTGTGATGTCAAAAATACTCATTCGTCATAGACAAGTCTTTATCTCACCATTCAATATAAGTAATAGCGTATCAAATCACCTTTATATGAAAAAAAAAGTGTAAAGTTTGGATTGTGGACCTTTCTTAATATATATATAGCTACGTCTACTTACTATACATAACTCTTTTCATTTGGTGTTGTTTTTTTGTTATGATGAGGCGATGAATATAATGCATCCATAAGGGATTAGTAATGCTGACTGCATGTACGCCAAAGTGCACATACACAAGAGGATAGTTATATGTGGACTATATGTATTGCATTGCATATTTACTGAAATTTAACCTACTGCCTTGATGTAATCATTACTTTATTCAGTCTCTACATGCCCATGCATTGAATAAAAATTGAAGGTTTTGTTAAATGCTCACGTTTATGTGAGCAAATGTGAAGGTCAATGAAAATAAAAGCAAAGCATGAATGCGGAAAAATTTTGACATTTTCATGAAAATAGAATTCAATAATAACGAATAAGGTTATTGTAAATGAACAATTTTCAATTGTTCTTTTCGAGATGATTACTCGATAAGCATGGACTAACAATCGACGTATATTCTTATGTGAATTGTTTTTTCCGCGAAAAAAACAGATCCATGAATACGGAAATTGAATGGAACAATAATAGAGAAGAAATAGATTACTGTTCTGCCTTATATGTTGGACCTTTCTATAAGAGCATGAATTATAAAAATATCATCCTTTTTTATCATGTTGTCATTTTCTATCTTATCGTCATTTATAATTGTACGATTTGCTGTTGTCATCAAAGTCGTTGTCATGCTGAGAATCTGATGATGAAACGGTTGGTAATCTAGCAGAGAGAGAGAAAAAAACGAGACGGTGGCATACCACAAGACGACGAGCTGGTTTACTCGTTATTTAGATCGTTTTTCTATCGTGGGGTTGTTGTCGACCGTGCGACGACGACGACAAAAAATAAATGATGGATCAATGTTGATTTCATTATACCAATGAGAGCAGCGACTGCTAGCATGTGTTAGCGACTTATGCGCGTTCTGTTGATAAGGAAAACACGACGAAAGAAAAAAAGAACGCTGCGAGTAGGATTTGAACCTACGCGTGAAGATCACATTGGATTTCAAGTCCAACGCCATAACCGCTCGGCCATCGCAGCTGTGCCCCATCGGGCATACAATTTAGTTTTATTGTCACTCAATCATCAACCAAAAAACTCTAGGTTTTCATTTTTATCAGAGTGAAAAATCTTTATTTAAGTACAAAGTTTTTTCAATATTTATTTAATCACTTCAGACAAAAGTCAATCATTTTGCTCTTCTTTTTTTCTCAAAATTGTATTTCAAACAAAGTCAAAAACAAAAAGAGCAGAAGCAATCAGGTGAAAGAGAGAGAGAGAGAGAAAATGAAGAATTAATTATGCCAATCTTGTCAATAACAAAACATAAATTTAGGGAACGAGCAAAAAAAATATAATAAAATTCTGGAAAACACTGTTGGTAACAATCAAACATACATTTATAAGTTAATGAATAGAGCTTTGAAAATTCATCTACAATCTATCACGCACAGAAAGCTGTACATTGATTAAAAATAAAAAGAAGAGAAAAAAATGCAGTGCACTGAGACAGATCGTGTTCGGAAGACGAGAAGAAGAAAAGTAAAACGTCGTGCTAATTGAGAAGAGAAGATGAGAGCACCATTTATAGAGAAAAACCAATATGAATAATATTAAAATCACACTTTTTTATAATAATTAGATGAATCATATAGACGTTCATCTGATGAAGGTACATTTGTTGCAGCTGAATCATATACTGATGATGTAAATGATGCATATTGAGGAGAATTTGAGCCAATATGTGCAGTTATTTCATGTGCAGCTTGTCGCAATTGATCATGAGTTAAATTTGTACAATCACGTAATTCTTCTAATATTAATGCGCTATAGCGACGATCAATGCCCGATGTATCAAGACAGGCATTCACTAAATCTTCTACTTCACCCCTAGTTCTTAATTGCATCCCGTAAGGTCGTGTTCTTGTTTGATCTAGATAAAAGTAAAAATCAATTAATTATTATTTGATCGAAAGCATCAAAGGCTAACACGTTAAACCTTGATATTCATGATTTGTATTATACATATGTGTGGATGCTACTGGTGGATGTTGGTGGGTAATAGATGTGCCGGGATGTGGGTATTGGGATCCAGTTTGATTGATTGTCCGTGCTAGAAGTAAGTCGGGCTATGAATAACAAGAAGAAACGAGAATCACAAACAACAATCACAGAACGTGCTAACGATGATATCCATGCATGTAGCATTTAAACAGATAAACTTACTGCGTATTGTATCACCGTTTTCAACAATCAATGAACGATTTGCAGTCTTAAACGAGAGAGAAAAAAGCAGAAGTCAAATAGATAATATAAATAGAATAAGTTCATTGAAAGTCAATCATCACAAACAAGAAACGCGTTGCTTTCGTGGTAGATACATTAAGCCTGATAGGATGTGGGCAAATTGAAATCTCCCAGGATCACTTCTCTTGCTAAGAAATTGCTTTCGTTACGTAAGCATTCTCTCTAATTGAACTCATCTATCAGTATTCAGAGGGAAAAAAAGTTTAAGATATTGTGATATTACACTATTGGCCTTCACTTTAGTCATTATATAGGCGATAGAAAAATTATACTGTGACATTTGAGAGAAATATTCATTAGACAAGGCTTAAAAGATAAGTCAAAGTTCTCCGTCGATGCACATTTTAATATAAGTAATCTTTCGTTTGCTTGAAAATGTATGCCACAATTTAGTGCATGAAACAAATCGAAGAGAACAAAGAAGAAGTTTAATCGATTCTGAAATATATCGATATAATTATTTAATATGAATGGAGTAACAAAAATTAATTCGAAAAAAAACTGGATTCTATTCATAATGTGTTCAATTTGAATTGAAGTATTATGAAAGATCACGGTATCTTCGCATGTATTTATTTTGATTCTGATGAAAATTTATATTTAAGCAAAAATAAATGGGGTAGGAATCTTATAGATCGATTTTTACCGCTGTTCGTGGATGATTTGATTCTTCGGTACTTGTGGAAGGTTTGACTAGTGCTGTTTCTTGACTATCATTTTTGCGTGCAGCAAATATACGTGCTAATATAGATCGTCGATGAAAACTGGCTTGATGATTATTCACATAGGATGAATCAGTGGGATCACTAAATAAAATAAATTTACAGACGTCGTTTTTTTTCCATAAAAGCCAATCTTTCAATTATTTTTATTACCGAGAACGCAAACTACCCTCTTCTCGAAGATTTCCTCGACGACTAGTTAATGTTAATGGCCCTAGTGGACTTTCTTCATGTTCCGGTACTTGAAATACATAAGTATCAGGCTCGATACCACGTCGATCTGCTGTAATAGCTCTACAATTAATAATAATAATCAGAGTAAGTGAAACAAAGAAAAGAAACAAGTTAATTTTATACCCAACGCGAAATGGTGAGGGTACATGTAGATTAGTATCTGCATCTAATTTTAATGACACCGGCCCATCAGGTTCACGTCTAATACGAGTACCAGGTGGCGGCTGCGACGAGGAAGGTGTTAAACCAGGCGCATAACCTAGCACTTGTTGTGGCTTACGCATAGCACGTGCAAATGCATCGATCATTGTGCCAAATAATGAATGTTCTCGCTAACAAACAAACAAACAAAAATATTATATTATAAATTATTCATGGAATTTGTTACATACACGATGTTGTGGTTCTTCTTCGCGCCAAAATCGATTGAATGTTTCTTCATCATCTAGATCACCTGATATAGCACGTCGTATTTCAGGTCCCAAATCGTGTAATTGTCGTAGACCAGCTTGTAGTGCAACTGAATTTTTGCTTGCACCAGCAAAACCAAGTTGGACTTGTTTAGCGGCTTGTTCTTTACGTTTTTTAAATCGACGAAAGTAATCTTGTATGAGAAATGTTGCATAAAATTTTCCAACTGTCACATCATCTTCAGAACCTGGCGGTGGTATTATCTGATCAAGTAGTTTTTGCGGTGTCCGCTTCCATATTTTACGTATGACAGCTCGTAATTCTTCATTAGCTTGATCTATATTTCCTTCGGTTTTGATTTTCAATGATGTTCGTATTAGAGCGAATAGTGTTGCATTGAACATCACAGTACCATCTTGATTCAATGGCATATTCATCGATACCAGCCTCTATTATTAGATTTAGAATATTGATGAATTTAAAAAATAAACAATTAAATTTAACAGCTAAGACATAGAACTATATTAAATAATATATATATATATATATACATATGATTTATCATTTATTGATATCGATATGAAATGAATTGAACCGAAAAATTGTGTATACGAAAGAAAATTCTTCGCTGTGATAGTTTCGAAGTAAAATTTTACCCACGGGAAATTTTCAAGATTTATGAAGTATTTTGAAAATTTTAGGATACTCTATAATTTACTGAATTCCGATGCGCCCAAAGTTCATTCAGACAATCGAGAGCAGCTCTCTGATGATTCGAAATAAACTCTGAAGACAAATACCGAGTCGATTAATCGCTTCGTGAGAAATGAAATTCTTTATGTGGTTTTCAGAGTAGTATAAATCTAAATAATTTTTCAAAAATTCATTTAACTGCTTTTGAAAAGGTTATCTCTATAAAAAAATAAGCTTTTCCCACCGGAAATTTTGGAATGCTTCTGAAAATTATCTATTAAAAAAATATTGCTTTCAAATTCAATCATGTATTTCCTCATTAGTTCTATGCTCATGACAGAAACTTCAATTCACTTTTCAGATAACTTCAACAAATCCCTTTTGTTTTCATGCAATAGACAAAACGCCCCCCCCCCCTCCCCCAAGAAAAAAGTTCAGTTAATTTCATTGTCTATATCAATAAACGATAAAAGATGTTTTAATAGAAATAGAAATAAAATAATAATACAATACTACCTTGCAAGCCACTCTATGAGGACATAGTTTGCCAAAACCGAGTGGTGGTGAAATTTTCCTCAACAACGTTATTACATCGAGATGCTTGATACGTCCTCTGAATAAAACAACGACAAAAGCACATGTAATGCACAATAAACAAAGCAGAATACAAAACATTTATATAAGGGAAAGAGAAAAAATATATATGGGAGTTTTAGGTGAGAAATAAGAAATACTGAGTGTCCTAATATTTATATATACGTCTATGAGATGACAATATTTAAACAATAGAGTATACCTTGCACGCAGTCCGATGGGGACAGAATTTTCCGAACCCTAACGGTGGCGTGATACTTCGCAGTAGATTAACGACTTCAAGATGTTTTATACGGCTTCTGTTAGAAGTGTTTTCGCTTTCGTTTTCGTTTAGTTTTCGTTTTTTTGGATAAGAAAAGAAGAGAGGATAGGTAAGCTTGACTTACTTGGCTTCTGGATCATACTCAGACCATAGACGAACAAATTCATCGAGATGATGAGGTCCAAGAATAGACCAATCACGAGTTAAATAATCAAAATTATCCATAATAACAGCTACGAATAAGTTGATAATCTATTTAGAGAAAAAGAAAATGATTAACATTTTTTTTCTCTAAAATTTGCTTTTCGTCTTACTAAAAATGAACAGAGTATATAGAAAGATAAGAAATATGGAATTGCAAAATAACTTCCACAACTTTCATCTTTCTTAGATCGTGATCGACTATCGCATTTTGCACCTCCGCTGGGCCCACAGTCAAACATAATTTCTTGCCAGGCCTCTCCTGTCGCCGATCTATATTTAAACGAATCAAATAGACATTCCTTAAAATCAATCTAAACTGAATCAATTACCGGAAGAGTACAAGCAATGAATTAAAAAATGTTTGAAAATTGTTATTGTAATTGATGGATGTTTCTTCATCCAAAGCGATTTTACCAAACATCTAAATCAAATATAAACGTATGTTTAAATTTCTCAATAGACCTATGAGAAAATTTCGTGAGATCAAGAGTATTTTGTGTCCACATCGAAAGCTCGAAGTTTTGTTTTTATCGAAAAAATATTTAAACGTGTTTAAGAATGAAATTTCAAAGAAAACAAAAAATAGAAAATTATGATAAAATATTCTGTGACTACAAATCATCCCTAGATCAGAGTATTTCACTCCTCTGTCGGTCCACGTACAATGTTAAATATGATTCAGTATTAATGAAAACTTTTCTTTTAGTACTCACCTGCATTCCAATAACAGCATAGATAAAGAACAGCATAGCAATGAGTAAAGCAACATAAGGCAAAGCCTGAAGTAAACGGTTTATATTTGTAGATGAACAACAACAAAAGAAAAGGAAAAACCTACTTGAAATGATTTTATAAATGTCCAAAGTAGTGTGCGAATACCTTCGCCACGGCTTAGAATTTTCACCAAACGCATAACACGAAATAGACGAAAAAAGTTAATACTGATGACATTAGTACCAGGCTATAAACAAAGACGCAAAACAAAATGAACAAAAAACTAGAGTCTTACAAAACATCGAACAAATATTCTAAAATAATTAATCAATGAAACGGCACTGATGAACTGTGGCTTTTTTTTATATCAAAGTATGAATTATATATATGAATGTATATGACATAGACAATAACAGAACAACATAATTAATATACCTGATGTGATTTCCAAACTCGCTAATCAAAAAGACGACATGCAAAATTATGTAAAGCAATTTTCAAGATTAAAATCAGTTTAAGGAAAGAATCGAATGGCTGAATCAACATTATTTGCACAACTTACCGCTATAATATCAGTATAGATAATATCAATGACACTACCAACAACAATAATAAAATCACAACAATTTGATGGATCACTGAAGTAATTCTACAAAAACAAGAAATAAAGATAAAACTCGAAAGAAAATCTTTGAATTTTTATTACCTTAACATGAAATGCAGCCATTTTAAGTATGAATTCCAGACCGAAAATAGCTGTAAATACAATATTTAAGTAATCCAATGCTTTCGAATAACTATCAGGTTGATTATGAAACTAAAAGCATAACTTTTCCATTTTAAAAGTATTCGTAATAGATAATAAAAAAAACGCACTTTCATCGCAAGTACAACTGTATTAATCATAATCAATGAAAAGATTGCATATTCAAATGGCGGAGATGTAACAAACCACCAGACTTTCAGCTGACTTTTCTTCACAGGTATGTAACGTTTTATTGGTTTTGCTTTTAGAGCAAATTCAATACATTTGCGCTAAAATAAAAAAATAAATGTTTATAAATTGTAATTTTCAATCCGTACGGACACGATGATTGAAAAAATGTTTCGCTTATGTTGATGTCTGTTTCATTCGCATTTCGTCAGTACATAACGAACGATTGTTCGATCGGCATCAGATCATTGCAACCGCCAATGACATTATACCCGGGGCGAGTCCGAAGTTTTAAAAATTGGGGTACGATGAAAACAGAAACTTAAGCATGAGAACGTTTAACACCGAAAATTGAAGCATGTGAAACATAGTGATATGAACGTGTATGGGTTTAGATGTGCAGATGAAATTGATGAGAAGACTAACACAGATATACATTGATTGACGTTATGTTTTACCTTGAGTTTTTCTTGTGACTTCTCAAGTATCTGTGCTCATCATTCGAATTCTCGGGTGAGGAGAACAGATTTCTATTCTATGTAGTTCGTTTGTCTGCGCACGTTTCTGCATATAGAATACAGTTCAATGAATATTTTTGCTTTAAAAGAGAAGACAGACACTGTAGACCAGTGTCTAGGATGCATATACTAATCGACCCGACAAAACCCTTAACGAACATGGAATCCTGCTTTGACATTTTGCATAGAAATAGCTTTTAAGTAGAATAATTTATTCCTCATCCTGTTATGAAAATATGGATCAAATCATCTGTGCGTTTAATATTCAATTATTCTCATCGAAGCTTTTCTCTTACTGCTCCTAAGACTCTTTTCAGTATTTTCATTCTCTATATCACACTGAATGACTGGTTTTATCATTCTCTATTTTCCTTAAAAAGCAATTCTCGAGATGCTCGTGTGAATAAACAAATGCACGTAATATTATACTCTGAATGCCTGTTGAAATAGTTTCTACATCGAATTTCTAAGTAGACAAAATGAAGAAATTTTCGTAGCAAATATTTAAATATCAAATATCATTGAGAAGAAGAAAAAACTGATTTGTAAGGTTCGCATAAACGAAAATAAATTTCTACCTGATTTTTATCCAATTCACAATTACGATATTCTTGTTCACCTTCATTTTGAAATGTGACTATGACGAAACCGACGAAAATGTTCACCATGAAAAATGCAATGACCTAAAAATCGAAACGAAAAATAAATAATTTTAACATCGTGTAAAAAACTCCAATCCTTACAATAATAAATGTAATAAAAAACGGAGCAACAAATGGTCGGTAATTATAAACTGGGCCTTCACCTTCACCTTTTGAATCAATGGCAGTATGCAGTAAACTAAAAATTATACATGTTATCATTCGAGAAGAAAAACAACTAATCAATACGTTGGCCATCCTTCAAATGTTGCTACCGTAAATAGAGTCAATAAAGCTTGCGGAACATTATCAAAATGAAATTTCGAATTTGCCCATTCTCTAGATTCTTTATAAATGTGATCGTCATCGATCTTTAGATAGAATCCTCTAGAAAAGCGAACACACATCAATAAACTAGAAAAAAAATTAACTTGACAATGCGTACCTGCAATCATCTTTATTTGTCATCGATTTGTCATTACAAGAGTAAAACGTTCCCTGAAAAATCGCATTTATAAAAAAACAAAACACGTTTCACTAATTTTAACTTACTTTAAATAATTGTACACCCATACAAGCAAACATAAATTGTAACAGAAAAGTAACTAACATAATATTTCCGATAGTTTTTATTGCAACAACAACACATTGCACAACATGCTACAAAATAAAAGTTTTGCGTTTTATTAGAAACATTGGAATCCCGGAGTGCAAATTTTAATCTACTTAGATACCGGAAGTCGATCGGACACGAAAGGCTGATTATGACAGAGCCGATATCTCCTTCTAATTCAATCACAAGATTCAGCTCGGCTAACTATCTTTCATATCAACAATGTCTCATTTTAAGTACTTCCTTCTTACATTTCTGAAGAACTACATCCCACAATAGATATAGAATAGAACAATTCTCATCTAATTATATTTTTTGAATCTCATATTATTATGCTAATCGGCTTTTTTTTGCCTCCTGTACTTTATTTAGACATAGACTACGTACTTTAAGACCTTTTGCACGATTAATAGCACGTAATGGACGAAGTACACGAAGTACTCGAAGAATTTTCACTACTGATATTGCACGATCTTTAATAACCATAGATGTTAATGAGACAGCCACGACAACAATATCAAGAATGTTAAAACGATTTCGACAAAATGCACCTGGGTGAAAGAGTAAGCCATAGGATATAACCTAATCAATGAGAGCGAGAGAAAATATGTTTATTATTTAGCTGCCGTACGTAGATATTTTCTTTTCTTACTTTTAAGCAAATTTCAACAGTAAAAACAGCTGTAAAAAAATAATCAGCCGTATTGAGAATCTAGTAGAAAAAGAAAATTTTATTTCGCAAAAATTCTTTAGTTTTGTATTTTACCTTATTTCGAACTGAATCTGAATCAACAGGATCCTCGGCACCAAGCGAAATACTCGAAAGTAAAATACAAACAAGTATGATGTATCCAAATGCACGATGATTACAAACACGATGGCAAAATATTCGAAATCTAAAGTTTTTTTTTTCATTTTAATTTTTGTTTAAATCAAATTAGTTCTTTTTTACTTGTTGGTATGTTGAAATATAAACAATGATGAGTAGGGTGGAATTGGTTTTACTTTTTCGACAATATTTAATTCAGATAAACGGCGAGGTCTAAAAATCAAAAATCGTTTTTAAACATTGCATACATTATATATTCATTGGGGACTGTCAATAAGCAAGTGTGACATGGAAAAATAGAATTATGTCAAAACGAATTTCTATTAGAAAGAAAAAAAGACATTCGAACCTTGCTGTGACTCGTTCTTCTTCATCTTGTTCGCCGGTTTCATCTCCATTAAGATTTGCACCGACTTCATTATCGCCTTGTTCTGGTTTCTCACTTTCACCATTATCTAATACATTGCCATCGGCATCTTTACGTGATTTGTCATCTATAATAGCAAAATATTATATCAATCAATTAGTTCTATCCTTGTCTTGCCTGCTCCTGCGGATCCATTACTTGCTCTAGAGTAATAAAAAATTATTTAGAAAACAACAAAAACAAAAACAAAACTTACTGATCTCCTCCGGGTAAATCTCCATTTTGTTTTTTCTCTTCACCTAATTTTTCTTCTTCACGTTTCTTTTGTTCTTCTTCTTCAGCGGCAGTTAAATTTTCAGCATCAGCCAAGTTATCAACAGCGACTATAAATCACACAAACAATCATTTTTCATTTTCTATTGTTTTGCATTTCATCAAAATGAAAAACTTACTAGCCAAGAAGACGTTCAGTAATATATAATTACCACAAATGAATAGAACAATGAAATATACACATACGACAGTACCAACAAGCCCGAGACCGCCGAGTGCTCGTATACCCGTGTATAAAACTTCATTCCAATCTTCGCCTGTTAGAATCTGTGAATAGAAACATCGGTACATTTGATTAAAAAAAGACAACATCGTGTTTTGTTTTCGTTTACTTGAAATACAGTAATTAATGCACTCCAAAATGAATCGAAATTATTTCTTGGTTTTTCTTCAACTTCAAATATTCGGTCGAATTTTCCTCCGAACATTTGCATGCCCAATAGAGCAAATATGACAATGAACAAAAATAATAGCAAAAGTAAAGATGCAATAGATTTCATTGAATTAAGTAACGATGCAACTAAATTCCTCAGCGCAGTCCAATAGCGTGTAACTTTAAATACACGCAGTAGACGGACACAACGGAGCACAGATATACCCAATGGTGGCATTAAATCTTGATAAATAAGAACAAATTCAATAATTGATGCAATAACAACGAAACAATCGAAACGGTTGAAATTCGACACGAAATAGCCAGTCACACCAAGCGAATACATTTTAAGAAGCATTTCAAATGAAAATAATATGACAAAGATTCGATTGGCTATTTCTAAAAATAGAATTAAATTATTTAGATTAAATTCTATCAATAGGAGATATTTGTCATATCATTGGCATGGTAATTTTATACGACATGACATATGTGAAATGCTTGTAAATTGATCAATTCTCTTATCATAAAGAGACAAAATAGATTATAGGAACGTTTTCTTTCGATTATGGTAGATGGACTTTTGAATCTATAAATACTTCTATCGAATATTTGGATGCATCCGATTACGCGGAAGGGAGATTTTAGGAGAAGGATAAGACATCTTAAAATTTGTTTTCTTTCGTCATTTCTTTTAATGTAAGATTATTATACATTCGGAGTTTCTGGAAACGGAAACTTAAAAGGAAGCTCGGATTTGCTCCTCAATAAACATACCGGATGCATTCCGCTTTCGTAAACTCGGAACAATCTGACGGAATTTAGAGTTTAATCAGAAAAAACTTGGCGCGACGTGTTTTAATTTTTTTATTATTATTAATGCTGGCACTAATCAACTCTGTACCAAGAAATATGATGGCTCTCCTATCAATCAAATAACAATAAAGGATAGAAAACGAAATTGAAATCTTTGAAATTGATCATGTTCGAAAAAGTCACCCTAGGATGTCGATCTTTCCCAAGTGTCGTTAGTTTTTTGTTAAAAAATAGACCATTTTCTGATATATCCAATGATTTCGACTCATACCTTGAGTATATGTTAACCATTCTGGCTGTCCATAATATTCACTTGCGAGTACAACTGTATTCATCAATACAAGAACAATGACAATCCAGTAAAATGTTTGTGATTTAACCATTGTATGAATACGTCGTCGACTATAGGCATGAAAAGTTCGAATATATCGTCTGAAACAAAAACAAATTCGAGATATTATTTTATCAATATATCATTAGATGTTTACAATTTCGCACAAAGCCAACTACAATGTGTTTCTAATTTGTTTTCTTTTTGAACTGCTTCACCGGATGCATCAAGATTAGCTATAGAAAACAAAACAGAAGGAAATAATTCGAATTACAAATTAAAACAAACCATCATGTTGTGTACCATCATTGGTATCATTTCCAATTTCTTAATAAAATAAATAAATAAATAGAAGATAGTCGAATGCAAAAATATCTATCTATTTACCAGCTTTACGAATCCATGCCATATAATTTCGAAATGATTCGTCAATTAATTGAATTTCTCTCAATTTTTGAAAGTCACCTCTTTGTTTAGCTTTTTCTCTTTCTTTAGAAAATTCACTATTATAAAAAGAAAACACAAGAGTTATGTTTTTTGTGAATTTATCAAATCTACCCGCTTAGAACACCCAAAACAAGATTCATAACAAAAAAAGAACCAATTATTATCAATGATACAAAATAGATCCATGCCCATTCACGTCCGATGGCATCGTTCATCTAAATAATCAAACAATCCGTTTCGTATTAAACATTCAAATATTTTATTTCGAACTCAAATATTAGCTTATGAAAATATTTTAATATCGAACAAGTCTCTCTTGTTTATACGTATGACCTAGACTTGCAAATGTCACCAACCAGTTTAGAACGCGAACACACAAATGCCAATTTAATGAGTTTACCATTTGGTCTGTTCGTATAATCGATTGTATCAAATATGCTTAGATATATATTCATCGTATAAAATGTTAACCTTTTTTTTGCTGTGTCTTTTCATAAATCTTTATATACTTTCGAATCGAGTTTTTGTCGACATGGAAGAAATGTGTAAAATGTTCTTTTATTATCGTGATACATACTCGATATAAAATTGATGTCCATCCTTCCATGGTTATACATTGAAATACGGTCAACATAGCCAAACCAAAATTATCAAAATTAATTATTCCAAACCAAGGCCCTTCCCAGCCGACATCTTTACATTCTTGACCTTCAGGACATTTTCGACCTTTCTCACCACATGGTCGAATTTCATCCAACCGTGGCATTAGAGCTAGAAAGAATGATAATAATATTCATTTGAAAAAATAGAATAAATTTTGTTTTTCATACATGTCCCATTATAGTAGCAAGTCATATGCATTTTTCCACAAAATAATTCCAAGCCAATTATGGCATAGATTGTAATGACAAAAAGTACTAGTAGAGCAATATGTAATAAAGGTAACATGGCACGTAGGATTGAATTCAACACAATTTGTAGACCTGAAAAATATCCAAATTTTAATTAAAATAAACAAATAATTTTCTCTTCAAAAATAATATATATATATATATATATAACAAATAATGCTTCTTACCACGTGAAAATATAAAGCACAGATAAGCAAATGCATGCAACCAATACACATAAATATGAATAGTTTTCTTTTTTTTTAATACAATAATCAGCATCATTTTAGCGTGCAGGGGAAAGGGATAGTTGTGATGGGTATAAATTCTTTTTATTTATTTACTCGGTACGCCATTGACAAGTTTTAACGGTCGGATAACGCGAAATGCTCGCAAAGATTTGACATCAAATCCTTGTACGTTATATTGAACCAAAACAACGCTCAGAAATCTAGTTAACAACATATATTTGTTAGTGAAATCTGTCAAGAATAAGAATTCAATCTTATACCCGACAACAACAATGACGAAATCGAGTAAATTCCATCCATTTCTTAGATATGCATTTGGATGAAGACATAGGCCATAAGCAATGATTTTTAGAATACTTTCAAGAGTGAATATGGCCAAAAAAATATACTCGATTTGCTCCTAAAGTGTGAGAAAAAGTCATGTTAACCAGTTCAGAAGAAAAAATTTTAATTCAATTTTCTTATATCTTCATCACTAATCAAGATAAATATAAAGTTGTTCAAGTGATCTATGATAGCTGTCACAATTGCTCCTTGTCTTTTTTTCTCACTTCGATAATTTATCCAAAGGAAAATGGGTGAAATCAATAATTGAATTGAATTCGAATACATGAAACAGAATCTCGCGGGAATAATTATTTCCGATCAAATTTATTATCCCGAAATTTCGACCTTGATGGATTTTTTTTTTCTTAAATTTAATTCTATTATTTACAAGTATTGAATTCGTCGGTGTCGTATCATTATTAGGTAATGGTTTGCTAAGAGCCAATGCACCACAATTACAAAAAATAGTAAGAAGCACCAAATATTCAAAAGGTCTAAAATAGAAATTGATAATACGTATTGTAACATGAGAGATTTATGAATTTCTTTTTTTGTTTTGTTTTATACATACTTCCATTCAACTAATTTAATAACATTTCGTCTTAATTTGTTGTCAAGTGATAAACAAAATAATGCTCGGCCGGGATGTTCAGGTGTTGTTTGTCGTCGTTTTCGTCTTCGAATTTCTGCTTGTTGTAATACTGTACTCCATGCATTGTTACCCGTAGGTATATCAAGTAAATGTGCCTATTGAACAAGAATGAATTCGTTTTTTTTTTTTTTTTTGAATAATAAAATCATATCTTACAGCTTTTTTTGGTGGCACTTTCATTTGCGGCGGCAATGGTGGGACTGGAATTATTGAAGAAGAAAAAATAGCATAATCAAAAAGATATCTCGATTTAATTTAATTTAACTTACGCGTATCATATTCATCATCCGCCGCATATGAATATTGCAGTGGACTAAACATCTTAACGTTTTTATTATCAAGATTTTACTGATAAAATATTTTTATATAGAACTGTGGAATGGCAGTCGTAAGAGACTAAAAGAAAAAAATGAAAGCATCGATTTAGAAAGTTAATTGAGCAGAACACGCAATAAGAAAAAAAAACTTACGACGAAGGAAATCATAAAGCATTTCTTCTTTTTATTGTTTTCCTATGTTGTAGCAAAAGACTTAAATGGTTGATCAAAAGTCTAGATGAATTATCTAAATTAAAGTATACGGAAGAATATATTGAAGACAATCGGTATCTCTTTAAAAGAAAACAAATCATATTAAAGGGTCATACAAGGTCGCTGAAGAAAATATCATCAAGGATTTTTTGTTTGTCTTCCATACATCCGGTTCCAAATACGGACCAGAATGTTCTGGAGCTAGAGTCAACGTGAATAAAAGCCGACTGTGCTGCCACATATAATTCAACCTTCGATTGGAACTAAATGAGAATATTTAAAAAATTATTTCGAGCCTTTTATTAAACTACGTTAATCATTTTTTCTAAACTATTTAAATTGAATAACTAACCAATAAAATAATTTGCTCTCTTGTATAAATAGGGTTTATATTTATAACATATGGATTTTTGGTTAGACATTTATCATTCTTCATGTCTGACAATATGCCATCAGATCATCAATATAAAACATGGGTCAACGTAAAACAGGAGAATAATATCCTCGCAATAATGCTATTAAATAATCAGAGTTGTTCTTATTATTAATTCGATTTTTTTAGAAATAAAAATCGGACGACTTATTTAAATTTTCAAGGGTTGAATATAGTACGACAGTTATGCCTATTATCGTTAAGAAATATTCAATCAAATAATAATTGACCTTTTTCTTTTTCGCAATCTTTGGTAAATCAACAGTTTATCGGAAATAATAGAAAAATATCAACGCATCAACAGAAATGTTAACTTTCTACGAGTGTTTATTCAAGTAGATCGACTAGTTTCATTGTAATCTTGATTGAATCAATGAAATTATATTCCTATGTACAAACCAGATTTCCTGCAGTCTATTCAAAAAAAAAAGAAAGAAAGAATATAATCAGATTAATCAAAAACTATCAATGCATTTTTATTATTCATTGAATCTCGCTGCAATTACAGTAAAATAATTGATTTTTATTTTGATACTAAATCAGTACCATAACGCTTTCTGATTATGAAAAATGGCTACGGAAAAGCATTTTTTACTGGGTCTCAATCATTATGCGCTTCCAGTGCTACGTTACGCCTATGTAATAAATCAACTTACATTTCTGTTGAAAAACATAACAATCATATTAAATACAGTACGATTAATCGACAGAGATCCAGACAAACTACAGCATAAATATATTAGAAATAATTATTGACTGTTTGATTTTTGGTAATTACTCCAATAGCAAAAAAGATACTTCGCAATTAAATGAGACGTTCAAACGATCTCCTACAGCTATATGGTGTGTTGTTTAAGAACGTAGTTTAAACGTACATCGTTCGATGGTTATTAATATGAAACTAAGCCTTTTTCGCGTGTACTTATCCTAATTCATTGAATAGCAACTATTTCAAAAACGTTTCTTTAAGTCGGCAACACTCAAAATATAGTTTGACTATGGAATCATCATTGGCAGAAGATCAATGGGAGCACTAGAATAAATAGATATTCACAGCTGAGCTAAAGATAATTCTAGTGGCATTTGTTTTGGTATTTTCTAGTAGGAAAAGGAGCATCGTGGAACTGTGTATCTCAAGTACGAAACTCGGAGAAGCTTCATTTTCTTTTTGTTGCGGAAAATTATTTTCTTTATCATTCTACTTAATCTGAGCAAGTTCATTCTTGCGCATAGTAGATGTTAAAGAACAACATTAATTATTTTCTGAAGACTTTCTCTATAATAACATACTGACAATTTTTCATCTCATAGATGCTTCTTGTATATAATTTGAATGGACTGTTTGCTAGTAACTCGAAGTGATTTTCGCTGTTAAGAGGGTGAATTTTGTTAATAGCACAAAATACAGTCTAGATAAATTAATTTTCTTACAATGCAGTTCCAAGCCTTTAAACTAATAATTAATGGATCTATCAAATGTTAATCTAGGGTTTTTTCTTTTATAAAAAGATGTTTATTTTAGGTCATGTAGACTATTTGACTAGCTTCATTTTAGATGAATTTCAAAGGGACGAGATAATTACGTTTGTTTTCTATTCACTCCCTATGTTCGAACTAATTTCATGTTTTTATTTTACCTTGTCAGAACATGTTGAGTTGCATTCTGTTAGTAATCGGTATTATTCATATTCCCTAGTTTTTCATCTTAGAAAGAAAAATTACGATTGATATGAAACAAACATTCTACAGGTGAAAAATAATCTTTTGTTGCTTGACATGCAACGTTTCTTATGAAACAAAACAATACTTCATTTTTCACATGCACAACATGTGTCTCGAAATGGATACCTTAAAAACAACAGAAAGTAAAATTAGTTGAAAAATCCTTGCGTGTTTTACTCGAAGAAATTATTCATCGATGAACAATCACAAGGAACATCTTGTTGGGACTCGTTTTCCTGATTACACATACGATTTGTTTTTTCGTTACTCTTCTAACTAATGGAAACAATGCCATCTCCATTCAAGCAGTCAAAACAAAAAACAGAACAAATGCTATATTAATAGACCAGCTGTCGACACAGTATAAGTATACTAGTTATTGAGAAAGAGAAGAAAATGCTTTCTGACAATTACTATCGTAATCAATAGTTTGATAGAATTTATTAGAAATCTATGCAAATACAATAGCCACTGTAGATGCCATTATTTCAACTATAATCAAAAGAAAATGCATAAACAATATTAAAAAAATACGAGTACACAGATTTTGATCCAAGATCTAACGCCTAATGAAATATAAGTACATGCAAAAATAAGATTTTGACGATATCAACACAACTGGAAGTCGTATTGCCTTAAACTTCATCGTATAGATTGTTGTTTATACCAAGAAAAAATATCACAATATAGACGGTGGACATGTAACAACTGAAACTAAAATTCATTCAAATGACGAGTATTTGAACAGTCCCAGGTCGAGAGCCCACGATCGTAGACGGTGAAATACGATAGAATACAGTAACCGCAAACGGCATATATGTCAAACTTGAATTCAAGTTTGCCACTACTGGAAGTTGATAAACAGACGATTACGATTAGCACTAGCGAAGATATTCAACAAATCAATCTATCCCTCTCCGACGTACTGCTCGATTTGGATCAATCAATCACTGTTGATCTTGAAGGATATGGAAATGTTTTTCAAGGTCATGTAATGAGTACAAAAAAAGCAATAGAAGATTCTCTACGCCATCGTGCGGATCCGACTAGTGTAGCAACTGGTTGTCTGGTGATATTGTACGTGAAGAAATAATAAAATCATGCTTTTTTTAAAGCCTGTTTGCTTATTTATTTTGCTTTGCTTTGTTTTTATGAGTGCTTGCTGTTCAAAATAGAGTTCAGGGGAAAATGTGTATATGGGACGAGAAAGAAACAGTGTAATACAAATAAGCCCAGTTAACGAGAGAGAGAGAGAATGAGAGCAAAATTATACATAGACAAAAAAAAACTCAATAGCAATAACTAACAAAGCGATGATAAATGCGAAAGGAAAAGAGGCCATTGAAAATGCAAATTTACAGGAGCGCAAACATAACAGCACACATACATACACACGCGCGCGCGCGCAATTAAGTAAACAAAAAGTAGACTGTTGGTTAGAAAAACAATCAAACGCACAGATAGATTAATAAAGTTGATCAAAAAAAAGAGCACGCATTCGAAACTTTGCCATAGCGTCTCTTGCTCCTGATGTGTGGTTTGTTCAGCACAAAAAATATCTTTTTTCCTTCTTAATGAATAAATTGCAACATTATTTTCTCAACTCATCCTCGTGATTTTGTTTCTTTTTGTCGTGTAAAAGCTTGTTGTTGTGAAATAACAACAAGAGAAAGCAGACGTAGATATGATCAGAGAGCACGCTCACGAATATATATCACTCGGCCAAAGATGAAAAAAAATACAAAGTAAACAAACGGGGCAAACGAAATGTGGGTTTCTTTTTATGTGCGTATTTTTTATCATCGATAGAAAATACTGTTTTTGATGCGGTTAAAGATTAAATTGCCCGAGAATTGGTATTTATCTTTCTCAAATCAATGTCATATACAACAAGAGAAGCTTAGTGCATCTTCTTGGAAAATAGAAATAAAGAACCAAAAAAAAAAGGTAGTGCGTCACACAGAAACGAAAAGGAAGTTATCACATTGGGTAACAAGAACAACAGCAAGACAAGAGAGAGAGAGAGAGAGAGAGAGAGAGAAAGAAGAAAAAACAGGACGCATGTACTACTTGTCATAATAAAAAAACGACACAAACACACACATATTTATATATATATATGTATATAGAAGGATTGACAAAAGAAAAAAACAGGTTAACAAACAAACAAACAAGAAACCGTTGCGATTTTTTTTTACATTTAAAAAAGTAAGGTCAAAAGCTACATAAATAGCAACATAGATAAATGTTTTGAGCTTGAATTTCACACGAAATTCCATCGTCATCAAAAAAAAATGAAGACAACAGAATAAAGGAAGAAAATTCGTCACACTCGTTCAATCAGTATGAACGAATAGCAGCAAATATATGATAGCATTAAATTCCATTCTCAATTGAATGCTTGAATACGATATTTGCTCAATGTAAACAATAGAATAAAATTTGGTATGATAATATTATTCACCCATCAACAATATTTCATCATCGCCTAAAGTACAAAAATAACTTATTGAACAGAAACAAAAATTACTATTGACGAAGAAAAGATTATTGAAGTTAAAAATAGCATATTCAAGCAATACAATAACATTTACATTTCGAATCCGTAGCGAGGACAGTTAGGGGTGTTACGTTTAAATTTTCAAAAAATTATTAAATCGAGAAATAAATTTTCAAAAATTTAAAATAAATTAAATCGTTTGAAATTCAAATTGGTTAAATTTTCAAAATTAGTAGATAAACATAGTTTTTGACTTGATTGCTATTATTTAAGTCAACTTTGAGTATGTTTCCTGTTTTCTAAAGTTAAACCTAGTCATTCTTCTACGAATTGTGCTATTAAATATATTTTTATGAGTATCCCGGTGTTTTTGACGAAGAAAGATGACGGATCCTGCATTATCTGTAGAGAAATTTTGACTATTATGAACAAATATTAACCTAAAATACTAGGTTCTCCTCTCATTTAGTATTTACTACTGTTAAAGTCACGTATTTTCCTCATAGCAATGATGTGTGTCCATCTAAATAATTTATTAAATTCTAAATTAAACTAACTTTTCGCGAAGTTAAATTTAACTTAAATAAACTGTAAATTAACACCTCTAATGACAGTTATAATTTTATTTTCAATAGGACTAGTCTGATGGCAACTATTGCTTTTCATATATAGAGACGTATTACTTAGCATAGAAAAAACAATATGAATCGTGACATTATGTTATTATATGGGCTATAAATGAAAATGAGAACGACTGATTTAGATTAGACACTATGGAGTTGTTCTGACAATCGGAAGCTTCTCTATTTCTACATGGAATTGATCGAAGCTAATTCTATTGAAGATTTTTCGATTAATAGGAAGATGATTTCGTTTGAAATTTTTACCTTGCTCATAATGATTCATATTATCTGTCCATTTCATTGCTAAATAAGCAGTTAATTGATCAAGATTAAAACAATCTGTTTGAGCATTTCGTTTTTCTTGACTGTAAACAAGTTGCAATGCATTTGACATAATATGAGATGATGATTGTTGTTGTTTTTGTGCTTGATGAAATAAGCTTGTTGACTTTTCATAATTGTTGTCTTCCTCTTCATCAGTATCATCATGTTGAGATTTAGCATCAATTAATAACGACGACGATGGTATTGGTTGAAAATAGGCTGTAGGTGGTGGAATCATATGTTGTGTTTGAGGTGAGTAAAAATATTGTGATGGATAAACTGTTGATGCTTGTAATTGTTCAAGATCATAATAGGGTTTTTTAGTTGGCTGTAGATAAACTGGACCGGCTTGTGTTGCGTAAACAAGTAACGGCTCTTGAGTTTGTTCTGATGTTTGATTAGGTTCATCTTCAAGAGTTGTTTCATCTTGATTGGTATCACTAGGAGCTGCTGTTGCTGCATACGTTGTTGGAATAAGAACATATTGTGATTGAGATGGTAAATATTGTGTACGAAGTAAATTCATGTAGGCTAATTGTTGAGAATAATTAGCAGCATAACGTTGTTGATTGTATTGTAGAAGAAGTAGAGGATCAATATAAGATGATTGTGATGGATAATTTCTATGATGTTGTTGCGGACGAATATCGGAACCAGAATAAAATAAAAGTCCACGATTATTTCGATGTTGTTGATTAGAACGTCGAGACGAAGGTTTCGAATTTACTGATGGATCATTTACTGGTGTAAATGATGAATTATCATTTGATTCTACTTGATGTTCCTTTTCATCAGGTACAGGTGATGGTGTTGGTGTTTTGGGTTTATCCGATGTTGAATTTTCAACATCGAAACCAAATGAAACATCATTTAATTCAATGTCTATAGATTTATTTAGAAAAACTACAGGCGGAGGTTTTGATTGTCGTTTAACTAACGATGGCAATGAAGAGGAAGAGGAATGAGATGATAATCGAGGTGACGATTGTTCAGTAACATGATTCGATACGGATGATGTCGGTGGTTGTGTTGACGTTAGTGGCTGCACTGATGTTTGAGATACTGCCTGTGACGATAGAGGAGGCGAAGAAGAATTTACAATTTTATTTTCTTCTTTTGTTGTTGTAGAAATAAATGGTTTTATATTCGAAAGACTATTACGTATATTTGGACGTGCAATTCCGTTTTGTGTTGATGGTTGAAAACGACGTTTATCATTAGTATTCGAAGATATTGGTAGACGAGACGATCGCGATGATATTAATGAATTATTATCTTGCCGACGTTCTTTTATTATACGACGACGATGTGTTACAGTTACAAATGGTTCAGAAATAATTTCACTGTTCGAATTATTCAATATTGTTGGTGATGATAATGAACAAGAATCATTATCATCGTTTGTTGGAGATGCACTGCGTACTGGTTCTAACCAATCGGGCAATGATGTTTTCCCATTCTAAGAAATAATTCAAAGATTAAAAATAACGTCTTGCATTAATACGCTTATAATTATATGGTGTCCTATTCGTAGAAATAATTCGACTGTGTACTACTGCAGGAAAATTTTCTTGTCTATTTATTTTCTGCAGTCTATGACGATCAATATAAAAACTGTATATATTGGGTAAGCCATAGAATTTTGTATAGATGAAAATTTAAGAACTACTTAATTTAAATAGTTATACAATTATTTGACTACTTGTAAATTGTCAACCCTCATAATATTCAATGAGTTTTGTTATCACAGCAGGATATGTCTGTAGGCTCGTATTTTCTCTATCTAATAAAGAATATATTATCCATCATATCCCGTTGCGCGCAGTGGGCACCTGTGTAGATGGCGCCACTTAGGAGGCCAAATGTTCATAATAGAGATATACATAAGATGGAGATAATCTATCTCTACCGCAAGACGACATGTATTCTTTTTCTGTATTTACAGATCGATACTCAGTTTTCTTGTAAGTGTATCAATAGAATTGTTTTGACTTTTGCATTTTTTTATTATTCTCTGCGATAACAAATGACGGTTATCTTCAAGTATTACACATGTTTTTTTCTTGTATGATAACAGATCAAATGTCTCTCATAGAGTCAACACTAGTCATATCTGTTTTTCGAAACATCATTTACGAGGAACATTAAAGTTAAAATTTGGACCCTGTCACAGACGTTGTTGATAAATGGGGTGTATCAATAACATTCATGAACTACTTCTTTATTAAATTTCTCCATGCTTATATAAAACAAGGATGCAAACAAGAATTCGTTGAGAAATAGATAAAATAAAGTCATCTCCTGTAATCATCCACAGGATCTACATTGTATTTCACGTATTAATCCTTTAGGGATTTCACTAACAGCTTTCAGATTATTTGTAAAACGAAGAAAAAAAGACTTAATAATTTGTATTTCTAATATAGAAAAGTCACCTCACATGAGTAACTCGCAGTGAATATATTTCAATTTACTCATCGTAGTGTTACTTATGGCTCACCTTGTCGTATCCACCTAAGAACATGTCAATATGTGTCCTCTAAAAGGCTCCTCTCATATGATTGATTTACTTTGATATTTCATATAGATTAAATTGAAAAAGAAGATGTGTCCTAAAAATTTCACAATGCTACTCACAGTTGTACTAGAATCATTAGTAGCATCGATATCGATTGTATTTGAATGAGATTCATCATCATTTGGAAGACTTATATTCGTTGTATATGCATTATTGATGGAATGTGTTGTTGTTGTTGTTGTTGCCGTTATTTCATCATCGTCATCAATATAATCAATCGATTGTATATCTTCATCAATTTGTGAAGTTTTATTTTCATTATCATTTACCAATTCTTGTGTAATTTTAATCGGTTTACGAGATTTTCGTCGAGATGTTCCACTATTATTACTATTTGCATCCGGTAATGATGATATTGTTTTGAATTTATTTGTATCTGTTGGCCGTAGCGGCGCTGAATTGTGTCGTTGTTTTTGTTTTGCTGTCGAATTACCATCAATGAACATGACAAGTTCATCAACATCAAGATCACCACGATGGCCCGGTATTAATTCAGTACGAATTATTTCTTGTTGTTGTAACTGATTAAACAAAAACACAAGAAAATAAAAGAATTCAAAAATAACAATAGTAAAAAGCAGATCATTTACAAAAGAAATCGATCATTCACTACTCGTTAAGGCACGATTACAGTTTTTCGTTTTTTTTTTGGTAGTTCGATTAATTGACTTTAGACATTTTTATATAATCAACTTACTTGTTTTCGTTTTTTAGATGATCGACTTGGAGGTTTATGCGATGCATTGGAATGGTGAGTATTATATTGTTCATGATGTTCGGGATTTCTAAGAATTAAAAATAAATAAATAAATGTTGATACGCACTTGAAGCCTATAAAAAAGAATCTTTTTACCGATTTTGTTGACTAGATACTAAGTAATTATTTTGCTGAGGCCTTTGTGGCGTATAAGAATGAATATCGTTAGTTGAATTATTAATGCCGCTTGGATCTATTCGAAATGAGACGATTTATTGATTTGTATAAAAAACTTATTTAATAAACTAAATTTCTATTGTTTTATTTTGTTTTTTTCTTTCTTACCACCATTCGAATTATAGTTGACAGTATCGGATAGTTTATAATACAAAAACATTATTGATGAGCATGTCCATTTATTGAATAGATCTGGCATATCTGCCTGGATACTGAACGAATCATGATAGGTTTTAGATATGTATACCTGGTTTCTTTTTTATCGTTGTTTGAACTGGGTGGATGACGAAGACGTTAAAGGTGTGGTAATTATATCGAAAAATGAGATAAGAATGTAAAAAGAGAGAGGGCTACTACTCAGTCAGTGGTTGTCGACGACAAGAGAAAGAAAGAAAAGATGCTGTGGTTGTATCAATACTAGTGTAGTTTTGCAATATAGTATTTCTCGCTTCGTTCGTTCGGTCTTTCTTTCTTCCTTCTCCTATGTTTAACGTCGATTTCGATGATATAAAAACAAGAGTATGACTCACATATGTATATATATACACAGACATATATGTACACTTTCTTTGCCTAGTCATTTCAAAACTATCGGAAATGACTCCCTTACTCAATGTATCACATGCGCATAATATAAAAACACAATTGCCCTTTAATACAAAAAAAAACTAAATACGACGGTACATACCATCCATAGCAGGCAATTTAAAACGTGGTACTTGACTAGCAAGTAAATGATGCTCATCATTAACATTCAATTGAACTAATTCATAACTTTCTTGTTGAGCTAAATAACCAAAAAAAATTTTTTTTTCTTATTATAACAAACTGTCTATGGTCAACTCCTTCTATTGATAAAGAAAAAACATGACTACTTACGTAAGGATGAAATACGATCATGTTGACTAGTTCGATAATCGCTGGTTTTATTCAACTAGAAAAAACATGCATGTGTTTAATTTTTTTTTCTTCTTGAAATCGATTTCAATTACCACTATTGTTGGTGTGTCATCATTATGCAATGATTTGGTTTTTGATAGCTGAGAAGAATTTTTCGTTGATAGAAAATTCGTTTTTCGATGTTCATCGTCACTGTCCGAAGCTGAACCATTTCGTGTACTTCCACTATTTTCTGATGATGATTTGGTTGCTACTGACGAACCATGAGAATCAAAATCATTATTCGGAATTAATTTACTATGTTCAAATGATTTTGATTTTGAATATGTTTGATTGTCCAATAAGTCATTTTTGTTAATTGCTGATGTTATTAATCGAGTTGTTGTTGTTGCTGTCGATGGCGATGATGATGATGATCGCGATTGTTGTCTGTCGTCATCCGTAGACTTTGAAAAGTAATCGAAACTTGCCTCTTCATGAGATTTATTTTTTGTTGATGATTTTTGTTTTTTAAGAATATTTGTTTGCGTTGCGTTCGATTGATTTGTATCCGTAGTTTGAGATACACAAATTTGATTATTAGTATTACCGGTTTTGCTAGTCGACATTGGATCCCTTGTCTAAAAAAACAAGGCATACTACTATGAAAGGAAAGAAAAAAAAAAGAAAGTCGAGACATCATTGTTATTCGTCGTTCTCTGTATTAGTAATACGTAAACCTGTTGTCACATATATAAACACACACACCCACACACCCACACACCTATCAGCACATCTATGCTAAAAAAAGAAGCACACAACAACAATAGGCCAATCGTTTTTGCCTTTTTCTCGCATATCGCCATATAAATATATACATATATATATATACATAAAACTCAAGTCAATACATTTGACTTTGGATTCATTTCGAGTGCTTCATATGAATGGAAACAAAAATACACTTTACCTTCTTATAATCTTCGACTGTAAGATTCAATTGAACAAAAGAATCAACCGGAGTACGTGTACGACAATTGTTTTGTATCATAGTATGTGTATCGTTATTATTGGTGATTGGTTGAAGACGACGTGCCTTTGTATTTGTTTCATCAGCATTTTTTCTAGAAAGAAAAGATATGTATGCATCTACGGAAAAAAAAACAAGATCTTTAATTATAAGACATACTTAATTGATGAGGAAGATTTCGATGCTATATCATATTTTTCATTAGCAACAAGATTATTGGCTGCTGTTTTTTCAAAATATTGTTTTTGTTGAATATGCGATAAAGATGTTATTCGATTATTTGTTAGTTCCTCATCATTGTGAATTATTGATGATTGTATTGGCAATTGTGACATAAGGATGCTTGAATGTTTTTGTTCGTCTTCGTTACGAAATACACGTTGATAAACAAGTTCGAATTCGTTCTCGTCGAGTTCTTGTAATTGACGAATGTATTCTTTTGCTGTATCAAGCTGTAGATATTCGTCATTAAATATTTCAAAATACTATCTAGAAAAAAACAAAATAGGAGCGGAGACCATTACTCACTCGAAACCCATTCCATTCTGATGGTAAACTATCGTAGAGATGAAGGAAATCTTCTGTTTGTTCTGTACGTAATAATTTAGCTAATTCAAGACAATGTTGATTAAAAACGGGATCTTCTTCTCCATTATTTAAATTCATTTCATTTTTTTTTATAGTTGTAGAGGCTCACGACGGTTATATATGTCGCGTACAATCGTAGTCAATATATGTCTGGATAAATACTCTAGCATTAGCTGCCATCAATCATGTAGCATGCCCTCAAAGAATGTGAAAAATGGCTCATAGCGCTACAATCAACGATATATAATTGTAAACAAGGTTTTAATCACAGATAATGATATCTCTAATATATTGTGTCGTATAGATAAAAGTATGAATGAATTTGATTATATACGAGTGAAGAATCATCATATAAACAGTGACATCTGTTGCAGAGAAATATTTGCTTAGAATATGAATAAGAAATTATTGCAGTAGATATTTTTTATTGATTGAAGGAAATGAGGGTGTGATTGTGGGTATTGGTACGTCTTTGTACCATTCTCACACCTACACGCACATCCTCTGTATCTAGAATAATGAACAAAGAATGTTGATACAAAGTTTGTTCAGCTCTATAGTTGTAGAATTGAATATCGCAGTTATCAGAATGGCAACTTCAAAGCATTCATAATAATGCTGCCGACATGAGATGCAATGGGTGCATGTGTATTGTTTCGATTTTCGACTAGTTTTCTAATGAATGCCAAAGGATTAGAATGGAAGAGACATTGCTGAAGTTGTAAAAGGCAGCGATGATTTGATTTATTCACGAATCCATCAACAGTAATCCAACCTTTCTCGAAAGCATCTTCTTCAATCTCACTTCGAGGTTTGGGGCATACTCCTAAACGTTGACAATAAGCTGTTTGTTCTTGGCTACTTTCCAAGTAGATTGTACCATTAAAAACAAATAATTCTACCAACCATTCAACTGGAATAGGAAAAGAAAAATTGCCACGATTGGAGAACATCGTTGGCGGAACTGTTAAAGTTGTTGTATTGGCCAGAATAGATTGATCTCGTTTCATACGTGGTAGTAGTACACGTAATGTCGTTGTCAACTGTTCAATGAATGATTGTTTACGATAAAGAAAGTACAATTGACCCATCAACCAATTGGCTTCAGTAGGACTCACGAAAATGATATGCTGGTTACGATAGACTAGTACCCATCGTGGTGGACGTAGAAAAGGATCTAGTGATTCTCCTTGTGTTCGAATCACTCGTTTGAATTCATTAGTGGCCCAAATATTTTTTTGCCAACCATCTGGTTGACATTCACTATAGAGTGTCGTACCTAGAAAAGCATCAGCGATTGGACAAAATACTGAAGTTAATTTTGATAAATTCAGCATAGGGCCTTGCTCTTCACATAAGCTCTTGATTGCATCATGTAGCACCGGTTCAAATGGCTCAACAGGTGAAGGACGTTTCTGATGTCGTTCTTCTTCCAATTCTTGTTCACGTTCGAGTTCTCGTTGCTGCTCTTCATCTAACAATTGTGCCAGAAGTGTTTTTGAACCGCCGTAAGCACATAATCGTTTAGAAACAGCTTCATGAATTTCAACTGATGAAAAAATAGCGGAATATTTGCATCGAGCCGAATAGATTTCGAATATTGTTTGGAATGTTTTCGATACACCATACATGATTTCCAATTTAGTGACTTCATCTTCCAAACATTGTTTGGCTAAGTTTTTCATCATGTTATCTGTAAACGATTCTAGGAGATCTTTCCAATGAATATTTTGAAAAGCAGTCACTTTTCGTTGAAAACTTAAACTTTGGGTTGCCCAATGATGTAATCCGTCCCAAGTCGATTGTTGAGTATTTTCATAGACCCAACGGAGAATATCAGTCAGCGTAATTCGGTCATCGATATTTTCTGTTTCATTCAATAGAGATGAAGTGTTTTTCATCGTTTGAATTTGTTGATGAACTTCATTTGAACTCCAGAAACTTAACCAATGATGTTTGCCTAATTTTCGCATTCTCATACATGCTTGAACCAAACGATCCTTGCTGAGACCATTTCCTAAGGTGACAGCAGCTCGAAAATCATTTGGAAATTTAAAGTCGGTTCCTCTCGTATGAATTTCATCCAAATAAAACACACAACGATCAAGCCTTTCGCTAGCAGGCGATGCCAAAAAAGCATGATGCTGATATTGTCGACCACAAACAAAAATCGAATCTGACTCAAAATAAACAGCATAGTCGATTTTGTTTTTATCGGTTTTATCCAACCATTTGACAGCAATTTGACGATTCGTTCCATCGACAAATAGTGCACCTACATCCAGAATGACTTGTATAACCGACTTGTCTTTGACAATAAGATTCAGAATTTCATCCGAACTTGTACTAATAGGCAAATATTGATAATGATCATTCTTCGGCTGAAGTAAATTATGAAGAACAAGAGCATCCGTTTTCTGCAGTTGTGGTAAATCACATTGACGAATATGAACAGGTAATAACAATTGGGTATCATTTGTGCCACTAAATCCAGTGATTATTTTCGTACGTGAAGATGCAGACAAATCCCAAGGAGAAGAAACTAATTTATGTGGAAATTGTTTTGCTTCTCGAGGAAAAACAAAATGATTAAGAAAATAATTAATCACAGACATATTATATCGTAGAGTTGGAAAAAGTCGTTGAGTTCGTTGTTGATAATCCTTTAAATTGACTGTTTTCCATTGTTTTATACTTGAGATTGTTTCGTTTTCTTCTTCTAGTGAAATCCATTCGTCATAGATCATTTCCGGATCACTTTCGTCTTGATTCAAACGATCAAAACATTGAAGCATTTGTGAATCACTCAAACCACTGTAGTAATAAGAAAGTTGCGTTAAGACAATGGCCACATCTGGATGTCCGAATTCTGTATTATCAGCTGCAACGTCTTTAGCACGAAATGGCACGGCCATCAAGCGATTGAATTTTGAATTTTGATTCACACCAAAATTGACGCGATAGCGTTTTTTCAGCGCAACGAATAGAACTTCGGACGATAGAAGACCACGCATAATGAGAAATAATTGAATGATGCTGTAGGGAAATCGATCGATTACATTATCAATCGATGAGTTTGCATCCAAAATAAATGATAAAATAAGTTGTTGATCTAGTTGACGATAATTTTTTTGATCAAGCCAAGCATTTGCTATTCGTTGACATAATTCTGGAAATGGCCGATGATTAAGCAAACGAAATTCTGGAAAACGACTTCGACGTTCGGATGCTTTGTAAAAAATGTCATTGTGATGTTGTTGTGCAATGTTTGTCGTGTGTTGTTTGACTAAATTCAGTACGAATTGAATAGTATTCCAACGTTCCAAACCTCCGTCGACTTGTTGTTGACGGCCAATTGAGTAAATCAATTGATATTTCACATGTAAAATTTCGTCGGATTCATCTAAAATGTCACGGCCAAACATTTTCATCCATCGCTGAATAGACAACATTGCTCGACCAACATCGAATTGATGTTGTCGGCATTTATCGATTGTCAGCAAATCAAACGATAGAATATCCTCCGGTGACGTTAGTACAGCATCATAATTGCTTAATCCATGTTGAAGACGATTGAAAATTTTATTTACTTGTACATCAGTGAAGTTCATATCACGACGACAAGCAAAGGGAAGCACACGTCGATTAAGCAAACCTCCTAATTTGTATCGTAGTGATTGGTAATTCATTGGAAATAATGATTTTAGTACAATAATACGAACTAAGCTCGACGGTGAAGAACATACACTAACCGCTAGCATTGGTAAAATAACCGAAGTTTTTCCTTCGCCCATATTCAGTTGCATGACAATGTTGGATATCGAAGGATTGTTTTCGTTCATCATTGGTTGTATCATATGACGTGCTACTTCAATTTGTATTTCTCGAATTGTAATATTCATTTCGAGTTCCAGTATTAACCACGGGAGATGCATTGATGGCGTCCAATTGGCGTGAGGTACGTTTGACATTTCTTTTTCAAAATCTTCTTGCTGTTTCTGATTGGCAAAATGTAAAGCTCTTTCAAGTTGCTGTTCTACAACCCAATTAACCATGATTCCACCGAGCAATGTACGTTGTTCAGTTGTCAAGAGCAATGCTGATAGACTTTCGTCGCTCATGATTTTGCTTGATGTCGAAAAATTCGAGTCAGTATCGTTTAACCATAGTTGTAGAAAGACAGATATTAGAGTTGTCGGTAAGATTCTTAGTGCTAAGCCTATTTTGAATAACAACTCGTTCCTTATTGTGATCGATTTTGTTAATTCATCCCAGAATGTTTTGGATTCTTGACGAAAAGAATCGAGAAATTGATTAATATAATCCACCGAAGGATACTCCTTTCGATATTCTTCGATCAAATTAAAGTTCTTCCAACTTTCAGTTAAATGTTCTTTGAAATGATTGGCAATATCACTAAGAGCATTTAGTTGCGAATCAGTAGAAGGAAATATTCTTTCTGGAAATGCTTTTTGCTGATTAATTATCTTAATACATGATGTTGGTTGGATAAAATAATTGCCATGAGGTTGTAGAAACTTTTGTTCTGCACTTTCTAGCAATTTTTGATCGACGCCTTTATCTGTTGAGTTATGACATATTTGATAGTGATTTTGAAATGATTCGAATGTGAACTGTTGGAGACCAACTGATCCTTGGTGATCTAATGGAACCATTGCGATAGAAGAAATATGACTTTGAATATTGTTTAATAAAACACGTAGTTGGCCATTCTGTCGCCAGGTTTTGAATAACTGATTGATTACGTGTGTGTAGATATTCCTATCAGGAAAACTCTTATTTTCATAATTAACATTTTGATTAAAACAATCTTGAATTTCTCGGTTAGCTACAGGGTATCTATAACGACCGAGATTTCTTGGAAGTTTGATACGATGAGATTGATATGAAGCTTCCTGAATATTCTCGTATCGAGTAAACGAAGGATATGAAGCAGAACTCAATGGTAAACATGGTGCCTTCAATGTAGATTTCAGTATTTGCAAATAATACGGTTGACTAGCACATTTACTGGATATGTAATGTAGAAAACTGAGTAACACTTCAAATCGTTCAATACCATCTTTTTGATTACCAGCTTCTGTTGTCTTCAGTTGTTCGACGAATTTTAATAAGCCAATCCAGATATTTTTCAATTCATATTCACTTGAAAGCCACCGGGACAAAGGGAAACACTGGAGTTGTGTGCTATCTTTTAAATTCAGATCTCCGCTAGCATATAGAGAGCCTGTAAGGCTAAGAGAACTATAGTTCGTTGCAAGTGGACCACTATGCCAATCTGGTTGATATGATTTTGTTTCGCTTTTCCGGCGGATTTCTGATTCCATCTGTGCAGATAATCGAGCTGTAGGGTTGTAGGAATCTCGATAATCCCAATAGAGTTTTGCTAATAAATTTTCATTGTACTTTTTATTTTCAAAAATTTTCTGTAGTTCGTCATTGGACGTGGATGCTGGATGCATGAAATTCCATTCTTCACTTGCTTCGACCAATTTTTTTGCTATTAAATAGTAGCCAAAGTGCTGCAATGAATGAGGTAAACTATCGGAATTCCATTCGATTTTTTCCATACATCTGAGATGTTCTGGATAATAATTTACTTTTGGAGAAATGGTTGCAATTTGCAGAAGAATATTTCGCGAGACCGCATCGAAAGGTTGATCAGACCAACTGCCCGCTGATTTCAGCAATTGAAAAGCACGTTCCATTCCAGTCATTCCCGTATATTGATCAGGAAGCGGATGAGATGTTGTTGCATGTAGTAATGCTAAATACAGCCATCCGGTTGGGCTTTCAGTTGGTTGAAGAATACGCAATCGATCGTTCAGAATAAAAATGAAATATTGATGAAGAAACGATACCGACAATGATTTTCGTTCTATAGTTACGATTTGATGATTGTTGCCAGATTTTCCTTTTGCTTGCACTTGTCCAAAAGGAACGATTAATTTTCGACACAGATAATGCCTATTTTTGTCGTTGTCTATTGTAGTTGGTGAAAGAAGAAGACCTGATTTCAAACCAGTCAATGCTCCAAACCATTGATTCTCATCGATATACATATCTGAATATTCCCGAGAGGCAATAATATTGGTTTGAATGTTGTATTTGAACCCAATGCCTAATCGAGATAGATGAATGTGAATAATATCATTTTCTCTTAACATGTATACATGAGGCTCATCATCGAGACGAATGAAATATCGTTTAAATAAATGTTGAAAGAATGATGATGATCGATTAATCAAATATTGTTTGCTTTCTGTGTTGCATGTCCAAAGAAATCCTTCTTCGAGGGATAATTTGTAGTGTACGTTGCTTAAAAAATTTGAATCCTGAAAACAAATAGATCGAAATTCTACTAGTTTTGTGTTTTCATTCCACCAATGGCTGTAGTTCGGAGTAAAAATAGCAGGTAGTTCGTTTTCAAAACAACTAGGAGGAATCAATTGAAACTTATCGTTTGTTTTTATGTACTTTTCGTAGAGTGTCATGCCTCCACTATTATAATCATGACGAAATTCATAATGAACATTACCATCGACATGGTATCCATGTTTTGTGATGTAACTATTTTCTGATTCAGCTGTTTGCACTTCGAAAATATGTTGACCAAATACACGAACAAATAACTGATCTGAAGTGATTCTATCTGGTAAAAAACCAACAGTCATACCGTTCACTGAAAATACCCCTTTCAAACAATCAAGCGATACCTGATTCGATTCGTATTTACCATCATACCAACCATCATGTATATCTGTGTTTCTTTTCTTCCAGTTTCCATTCATTGTACCTTTGTTTCGAATAACTGCCCAGTAGAGAGCACAAAATTCATTCAAAATTGCGTAGGAACTTTTTTCAAGTAGTTCGCTCATTTTTGGATTTATTGATACTAATATGCGTTCACTAGAACGCATTAAATTTCTCATAAATATACTCATATTTGTTTTTTTCTTGCTTAGAATCATATTGTCATGAATAGTTGTAACTATTGTCAGTAAGGAAATAACATTCTGATTGGATAACGCGATAGAATTACTATCATCTGTATACATAGAAAATGTTAGTACACATACAACACCGATAATCACAATTTTAGAACGCAATACATCCATTTTATCAAAATCAGGTGAAGAAGGATTTTGAATGCTTTCCATAATCAATTGAATCCATTTCTCACCTACGTTACGACATTTTATAACGAGATTAGTCATTTCATTTTTTCTTGTAGAATTACAAATAGTAAATACTCTCATGACAATTACTGTTATAATTACTAACATCAATTCATTTTGCCAATTACATTCACAATCTTTCAAACGTCTCTCCAATCTTACAATCAATTCGTCAACGAAATGATCTTCTAATAATTGTTGATGTGATTCTGGACACCAGAAACAAATAAGTGCATCTCGATCCATCGTCATCGGACCATATTGTAGTAGTGCATGTGTAATTAGTATTGCAACACTTTCTTCATCCATTGGCAAGGAATCTAATTCAAGAATACTTAAAAGATTCCACCATTGTAAACGATGACCAGAACGAAATGAACCGAACTCAATGAATTGGGCCGGTTTAAGTTGTAGTGAACACTTTGATAGTTCAGAAATTACTTTATTTTGTACACATTTTGTGGTAGCGATAGAAAATTGTAATTGTTTGTAATTTGGATCAGTCAATTCGGGTGTTAACGTTCGACATTCATTTTGGAATTCTGTTACTTTGGTTGGAGAAATTTGAACTCGAAGACCATTTTCGTAAAAAAAATCATCTAATGGTGTTGATACGACGTGTCGTGGAGCGGAAAAATGGCTATGCGATATCGACTGAGACGAGGATACCAGTTTCACTCTACAGTTGCTTGAACCATTGAAGTACGTACTCAACTTAGCTCTATGAGGGCTAAAGCTTAACCATTCATGCATTTGATTCGTTGGATTTGAATTGGGACGATTCACAAATTGCCAAAGAATATCTCGATAACATCTGATTTCACTAGGCATCTGTAATTCAAAGATGACAGCCAGAGCACTTTCTCGTTGTGATGGTATCGGAGATTCATAAATATGCACTTTTATATTATTCGCCTGTTTCATAATAGTACATTTATCACATTTTGGGGCAAAACGAACCAGTTCACATTCACATTTCAGCTCATCAGCTTTTCCCATGAGTTGTTGATATCGTTCTTTCTCCTTGTTCACTTCCTCAACTTTGTCTTTTTTATCTTGTTCAACTTGATCTTGAATTTTTTGCAGAGTTTCATTCATCTCCAATGATTGATCAGCAAAATGAACACCAAAAGCATTTGTCGACTCGATGTTGCTCAACAAATCGGGATATGGTTTTGAATTGAATTCTCGAAAATAATCATACAAATCTCGAGCTCGAATCATATCATCTCGATTGGGTAACACTAAAAATTCGAATAGCTCTAAAAGATGTGGAATTTGAATGGCATGTAACTTCAATCGTTCGAATCGTGCATCTTCACATAATTTTCTATGCATCAAACAAATTATTGTCAGCGATGTTAAAATGAATCGACTATAGCCAATCGGATCTGTTGATTTATTTTCTGAATAATAATATGTCAAAGCTGTACGTTGATAGTCTTCGTAGAAAGATTGTAAATCTTTAAAACACGCGTATCCTTTTCCCGACAGCACTGGACGATTGATCCATTCCTCTAAACTAGAACGTATCCAAATCTCGATACTCGTCAATGCTATTCCATTGGGATCATCTCTGTCATTGGTTAACTTTGAAACGGAAGGTAATGCATTGTTGTCGTGAGCAACCCTCTTGGACATGAAACTATCATTATCATTCTTACGAGAGTATCGCTTAGGTGATGTCTTTGAGTTATGTTTTTTAAGATAATCTTTTAAATTCTGCCATGAATGTTGATAGGTTTTGATTTCAGATGCATTCAACTGAATTGTTGATGATTGCAGTTTTTCATTCTGTTCAATGAACTTTTGCCAATTCGAATCCGGAGTAATGCAATCGAGTTTTTGCTTGATTTGTTCTGTTACACGTTGTATCCATGGATTTATATCAGTCGAATAGATAGACGAAAGCGAAGTTTCAATCTTATTCAAGCGTCGTACAATTTTTCGAAGACAAAATACTAGCAAATCAGAAGATATTTGATAGCTCATCAATGTTTGTCTTGTAGAAATAACATAAGTTAAAAATTTTGTAATAAGTAATTTATAAACAATACTACCAATATTTCCCAAACGTTGTGTTAGAATAGTATGAAAAACAACTTTTATAGTCATCCATAATCCTGATCGTCGAAAAGGATGCATCGAACTTTGATATCTGATTTGATCACGATGTTTTTTCTTAAATGAAATAGGCTTATGTACCAGATTATCAACTTGAATACCTTGAAATTGTGCGATCCACCATTGACATACATAATGTGCTATGGGTACTTCACGCATGTCATTGAATGAGTACGATGACTTGAAAGATTTAGAATTTTCAATTGTATTATTCATAAAATCATTTAATAATTCACATTGAACTTGACACGACAGCTGACATTGATTAGACAATCGATATGTAGGCGTAGGAAAACAAGAAAAATGTGGTTCTAATGATGATGTTATAGTTTCTGTGGGTAATAACACTTGCCAAGATGAAATTAATGGTTGATGGGGTGGATTCTCATCAATTTCAATCAAAATTGCAGCATTTTGTGCATGAAAATAAAGAGGAAGAAAATCACCTGATGTCAGTTCTTGAATAGTTGATTGTAGAATCGGTACAGAGCAGGTTTTCGTATTTTGTATGATTGACCAACGCTGAATACTCTTTTTAAGAATTTCTATAATCGGCAGTTGATTATTTGTGCCCATCGATTGTAAAAAATCTTTCATACATTCAAGTATTTTGTATTCATTTTCATGGTTGGATTGAATTAAATAATCATCATCTGCCGATGATGGCAGATCATGTGGAAGGAATAAATGATTTAATATTGATTTATTAATGTCTTTTAAATGAAACGAACCATAGTTGCCATAAGATGAGGCTTGATGAAGATTTCTCAAAAACATTTGTAAAATGAAATGCTGAAACAAAAATGCATACGCTCGGTTGAGAGTTGAAAACTCAATTGAATAAAAGTTTGACACTACGGTTTTATTAGCAAATGCATCTTTGAAAACAATGAACTAAATCATACTATTGTGACTTACCTTGTCGCTGATAACTTTCCCGACCTATTTGGTTGTTTCAAATGTGTCTTTCTATTTCATGTGAATGCAGCTTCTAGCTTTATTAATATACAATATGAACTGGAGAAAAACCCAGAGAACAAAAAAAAGATCTTTGCCCATTAAGTCAGCATTGTTAAAGAGATGTCACTGAATTCCGGCAAGAATGCCAAGTGTTGGTGTCTTTTTCTTTTGTTTGTTTACAGTAGGAACTTATTAACAGTTTCTAACATATTGCAATGGATATAGTCTACGGTTGCTTGATTTAATCTTCTACTAGCTCATGATCTGAATACTGGGTTTGTTGTAAATTTGTTTGAAACAATATGATGAAAAGAACGAAGTCTCAAGTCTGACAACATGTGGCTTAAATTATATTTAGTTAATAGTCAACGAAAACAAACAACTTATTTAGGTATATTTGATGCTACGACAAGAAGAATTTCTTCGTCAGCATTGCTATTACAAAGTTCGAAATATTCCTATCGATTTTATACGAAAATCAGCGAGTATCATCGTCATACCAAGAGTAGTGGCAGTGATACTTTAATACTGTAGAGTAAGCTTTAACGAACTTTCTTTCTACATATTCTGATAGAGAAAATAATGCTCTATATTTCTATGCTATATGATCACACATCAACTAATATCATAATAATAAACTTTCGATAAGATTTGTTTCTCTATGATATGTGCCTACCCAAGCAGACAAAATTTTTCAGAAACGCGTTTAAACACCACAAAAACTATGTTTCTATACGTATTGCGTCGTTTTTAGGAGGCTGGCCGTGCAAACGCCAATCTTTCATTTTTCACCACATGAAAACTCGCAAATACTTTGTTGTCATTGTATTATTGTATTCATCCTCGTTAACGATTCAATTTGCCAATTTGATAGCGTTTAAACGATTATTTCAATTGGCATGCGCGCTTTTTTCCAGGGTGTGGGTGTGTGGGTCTGTAGATTTTCCACTTCTATCGACACCCACACACCCACCCATCATCGGTGTTCATCAAAATACGAATAGTGCAAATGCATTCGACATCAGAATAGGAACCAAGAGAATGAGACGCATCCGTAAAAAGGCATGAAACCAGCGAACGATCAAACTATAAATAACTATCTATAAAGTACTTAAATGACTGAAACTCAGTTTATTATATTTTTTATCATCATAACACTTTAATAAAAACTGCTGTAAAACTATCTGTCGCAAAACCCTGAATCTCACAATTCATTGATAATTGGCTGAGGAGCAGCGACAAGCGGCTATGAAAAACTGTGCTCTATAAAACTATCGAAGTCTCAGTCGAAAATGAGCATGAAATCTTAATACAAAGTGAGGAATCTAAAACCCAGGATAGATTGAGTGTATGTGGATTTAGTTCAGTCCTTCAGTCAAACCCATACACACTCAAGAACAATCCTCCGTATGGAGAGTACTTAAAACTGGATATTCAATGATGATTGTATTAATTCAGCACATTGCCATCAGACACACCGTTCTTGATCGAATAAGGATCAATATTTCAGATAATATGGAAGATGCAAATATGAAGCTTACACTTGCATAGACCAATAACAAAAAGAATGCTTGACTACACACATTTGTGTAGAATCAAAGTATTAAACGTACATAAGTGTATTAGAATACGAGCATATATCTAGTTCTCATCCTGTACTCATTAAGCAATCTGATTAGAATGTTTATAATCATATATACCGATTTCTTTTCAAGAGAAGCTATATCTGCGTAATGATGAGTGGGAGTTCTAATCTGAATTTTGTGGCTCTTGTATGTAATCATATCTTCACTCAAAAATGCAATTTCTAATCCGCTTACAAAAATTGGGACATGACAATCTGCGATAGAATATATAAAAAAAGACACATGAATATAAATCTTATCTTTTCTTCTCAATAGTTTGCTAGAGAAAAGAAGAATTACATTATTATAATATAACGACAGAGAAGGAAAGAAAATCTTGTTGAAAGAACAAGAAGAGCAGAAACGACATACTTTAAATTGTTCGCAGGTGCAGAAAAACAAAAGATGCCACTTAGTAAGCATTCTTTTTCTAAATTCATTCTGATACAACAGAGAAACGTGTCTTGATTTTGTATCAATGCCGCATAGATAATTGTATATTGCTTCGCTATATGGCCGCTTGTTTTGTCTTCTATATTTAAGATATCTTTCAGATAAAACATAATGTGCAGAAAAACGATTTGTTCTAAATGTGGAAAGCCTACATGGGCAGGTGATGTGAAGATCAGTTCCAATCTACTGAAAACATTACTCAATATATATTTTTTTTGAGTTTTTAGGTTGTGGTCAACACATTGAACAAGCATTAGAAGGTGTGCCAATCAAAGAACGATGTAAATGCTCAAAAGATTCAAGAGTTGGAAGATGTATTCTTTTACGTAGAATATGAGAATTTATCAGATCGTGTTATCATTAATTGATGCATAATAAAATCAGCGATGAGTACAATTCAAGATGAATCTTTTTACATATGTGTACACTTCCTTTTTTTGGCATATGGCATACATCAATAAAATTATTTTTTTCTTATAACTTGTTATTTTTCAAATGTCTATTTGCTCTTCTCATAAGTTATACCTTTCCCACAATAAAGAGTACCTTTTAATATTTCGTAATTTTTTTGGGATTTAAATCCGTTGATTGACTCTTGGCTGAAAAGCAAAAGTTGAGAGCTATGAATTGAATCCTTTTATCATTGTCCGTTAAGTCCGAATTTGGGAAGATGCTCGCTAAATTTTTAAAATCTTGCCAGAATCTTGCTCTGGCACGTACAAGATAATGACACTTGGCTTGTCTTTCTTTGAACACAGATTTTTTTCTAATAATTCGAAAAACTAGACAACGTTTCATAGTAACTTGTTCATATAGACAGAATTCAAAAAACAAAATAAAATAGGAAAAGTTTTAAATCGTATTTTATTGGAAGAAAGATATCGCAAGATTATGCCAAGTACAGGAACAATTGTATGGAAATGGAAATATCTAGTAAATAAAAGACGTTGATCAAAATCGAATAATAATTATAACGATTTTAACTCCAATTAGCGATGCAACGTAAGTAAATTAATGTTTTCCCATCGCTACTCGTTTCAACATTCGTTATAAAGAAACATGTTGTAGCTGATAATAAAATTTCTTCTTCTTCTGGAAATGATGATATCGATGTTAGGTCAGCACCAACCGGTATCGACGTTAAATCGATAATAAACAGCGTGTTTCCAAAATTTTCTGCTTTTGAACGATTTTTTGTTGTTGACGTAAATGCAGGCCAATGACCACATTCGTCTATCTTATAACAGTTTATCATCTCCGACGTTAAATTGCCACCTCTATAAACCAAATTTTGTAGTCTCTTATTGATTGGTTGTAAAGGACCATAACCAGTTTCTGATTTGAGATACTGATGCAAAAGATAAGTAAATGGGCCAAGTGTACTAATTTTGCTCACGTCATGTTCTCTTAAAACCTGATTCAAAAGTTTGTACAGAAAGCATTCTCTAGTATACAACCAAGCGCAATGCTTATAAATTTCACTTTCTGGCTTCTTTTTCATATTTCTCAGACTATTTGCAATCCAGGCAGCTTCACATTGTTTACCCAATTTCGCCCCTTCTTCAACTATGCCTGCTGCAGCCAACTCAAGGACTTGTGGAATGTCGTCATACACCGCAGAACGAACATCCGCTTTCCAACAGTCGATAAACTCGGATCCCTGGCCTCTACATCTATTAGGAGGTCGAAATGACGGTATATTTACGGACTGAGTCGGTAGAAAGAATCGATCACGTCTGAGTAGTTCCGGTTCACGATTGCCACGAACAACACGTTTTATTGGTCGCTGTTTCGTCTTGTCGATTATACTAATCTGAATATTTTTCTTTAAATCAATGATATAGTCATCTATTTCGACCGTCTGAAGTTTCTTCGTACAAGCAGCTTCTATAATTTCATTTTCAATGTCTGAGTATGTATCCCATTTGGCTATTTCTTCTGTTGACCATGGATTCAAATTTGTTTTCCAATACCACATAGCATGATCAGTCATCTTAATGTTGATAGCGACAATTTGAAAAAACGTTGCCTCTTAGTAACTAGACAAGCAAAACTCAAATGGTTAATTTTGCGATGGAGAAAAACACAATGCATCGACGTTACAGGAAGAAAAAAGGTAAATTAAATTTCTACTATCGTCATGTGTAAATACATGTAAAAAAAAGACTTCATTCCTCTCCACTATCAACTCCTGAGAATGAGTCACCGTTGTCATAACCGGTTTCTATTTCTGCTCAAGAAGTCTTATCAATCAGCTGATATCCTAGGTTCGGCCTAGTCTCTAGGGTGGACCAAAAGTGTGTGGCGTGAGTGAGTGCCTTGTTTATGCGTGATCCATACCTCCCTTGCCACTCACCATGGTAAAATGGAAATTAGTTTCTTATCAGGGAGTTCGCTTTACTATGTTTACGGTTGTAATTATAGTTTTCTATTTTCGGTAAAACACAGTTAGATTACTTTACTTCATCTGATAAAGTAAAGATAAAGTGCCACCACTAGATCGAAGTGCTGAGTAAATATTTAGCTATTATACTATTCACAACAACATGAATAGAACGTATTTTCTTTTAAAACTATTCAACAAAGCGAATAAATGTTCTCGTTTGTCTAAAATCCAAACAGAACATTGAAAACTAATTCTCACATATGGATGTGAGTGTGTTTGATTATATGAAAACTGAATATCACATCTCAAACCTATATTTCCCTAAAAAATATTCATTTGTCTCATTGAATGAAAAGTGTCGTTATATTGGGATACCGAATCTTTTTTAAGATGAAAAACAGAAAATGAGAAACTCCGAATTAAGTCAATGCATTAGACAACTTGACAACATTATCCTTGAATTTCGAGCTGCTATTTTTTATAATTGTTCCAAGGATTTATCGATCGGCTAATACAGTCAAAAATATCTTTCATATCAACATTGTTAGAATGGTATTGTTCCCCTAGAATGCTGAAGGGAGATTGATTGATCTTTTCTAATATGATGGTAGTACATCTGCCCGAGCAGAGGATGTGTAGTTCGAATCCCACGAAAGGGTCATATTTTATTTTTTTATGTGATCATATCATTTCGCTGTTAGCTTAGCGCCTAATAGATATCATTATAGAACTTCATTTTGTTGCAAAGCGTATTACCTAAAAATTGTTTTGCGGCTATTTATAATATAGTGCATCTTGATGCGTTGTAAGTGAAATGTGTCGAACATATTCAGAGCAATGCTTATGATTCCTTTCAATCACTGCTCGCCTTTCTTTTCTTTTTCTTTTATATGAATTGTTTGTTCTATGAATTTAAAGCGTACAGTTTCTTAAAATATTTATATCGAGAAAAAATGATGATTTATGTTACAGGTATCTTTACTCTATTTTTAGCAACAAAACGAACTTAAACATGTATGGTTTTTCGTAGACAATACAAAAAGTTACCTTACAGTGTTACAATCGATTTACAAAATATGAGATGTTAATGACGTCAGTAGAGTCGAATAATTGTTTTTGTAATGATGTATGAAGAAAATAAATTTTCTTATTTCAAATCTTGCGTCATACATACAATCAAAGAAATTTGAGTAGGAAAAAATGCCGTACTGATAGAATGACACAATGATGATTAAACTAACATCGAAAGAAGGTTTATTAATTTTAAGTCTTGTCTTTTTTTGTTGACTGCTCCAATTCTTTTGTCTATGTGTATCGAAACGTTCGATAAAACAAAAATGATGAGGCATTCGTTTTCTTTAAATTGAACTGATTTGTGTTTTTTGCTAGTGTATTTATTTTTAGACGCATTATAATGACTTTCATTATTCATAGCTAGTAATTTCATTGTAGCGTCATACCGTTACAATTCAACAGACATGTAAGAATTGTGCGAATCATCTACATATAACTTGGAAAATATTCAAACAATAATTTGATATATCTATGAGATCTCGATGTCTACATCATTGACAACGTCTGTTTCAGAGTAGAAGAATGCAAGCGTGTACCCACATATTATAGTCGTTTGAAGAGATATTTTTCGGTCAGTTATGACTCTTTATTGGTTTTTATATTAAATAATTCATTTAATAGAAAATTCTTCAACTTCACTACATTCTCGTTGTGTAGTCATGTTATTTAATAAATATTTGAAAAATTATAATAGACGTTTTTTTGATTGGCCAAGTCTGCTTAGAATGTTTTATATTTAAATACAATCTTCAAGTGTGTGGGAAAACGAAACCATGCTCAAATGTCTAGTTTCATCTTATTATTTTTGAAATATAACAATAATAGAGTTGATATTGTGTATGTTCAGGAATATTTAAAAATGTCCTGTGCCATATACATATCTATATATGATTGTTAATAGCAACATCTGTTTTTAACATAAAAAATCTGTTGATTGGAAATAAATAAATCGGTTTAAAAGACTTCAAACCAAATCGGTCCCGTCACTGTTAAGATTAGGTGTCATGATGTCGTACAAGTAATACTCATGACGAATACTGCATCAAACATCGCGCAATTTTGCCTTTTACTTCCCTGTGTTTGTAATTGCAGCATACGTACAACACGTCATATAAAATGATGAAGAACATGTACGATGAAAGTTACATTTTTCTATTCATACCATGGCGTCATGTACAATTGTTTCTTCAGAAGGTTTCGCTTCGTCTTTGGTCAACTTTCGAGTTCCGTTTCGTGGTGATAAAAAAAATGAAGATTGCCTTTCACGAATTATTCTTGTCATTGATCGATCTGGATCCATGGCTGGAGGTAAAAACAATAAGATTTGTTTAATTATGCAACCCTATGAAAAGAAAATATAGGTCCATGGAAACAAGTTCAAGCGGCAGTTCAAGCTATTGATGAAATGAATCAAAAATTATCGAGAGGCGCCAATCTAGAACCTATTGTTATTACCTATAATAATACAGTGTCGATTACGAACTTAGCTTCTATTGCAAAAACAAAAGCCGATGGATCAACTGATTTTGTCAAAGGTACTTTTTATTCGTTTGATCGTAATTCACAATTTCCGGACTTTTTGTCTAAATAGCTTTTCAACAAGTACAGAAAACAGTAACAGAAATAGGTGTTGATAAACGGATTGTAATTATGTTTATGACTGACGGATGTGATTCATGTAATAGGCCAAATGCAATTATTGATGCTCAAACAAAATTGCAAATGTTTTTAAAAGAATCTAGTTTAAATTGTGTTGTACATGTTATTGGTTATTCAAGCAGTCACGATTTAAATATGATGAATACATTGAAAAGTTTAGGTACAACTGAAGGTGTTTACCGATATGCTGAAGGTTCAAAGGGTTTAGATGAAAAATTTCGAGAACTATTTGAATTTGCTGATTTAACTGTTGAATTTTCAATTAAATTACCGAATGTTAAAGAACCAATTAAAATCACTGGTGAAATGGTCGATTCCGATCACATCGAAAGCGAATGTTGGTTATCGTTAAGTGAAAATATCACGCAACCCATTGAAATAACTATAGGTGATAATCAGTATAATGTTGTACCCATGCTGACTGAGCCCGATACAATTTTTATTCTTAAATTATTATCAAAACGAATAAGTGATATTAAAACGCAAGAAGAATTAGATCAAATTCAAAGTGAATTACAACAAGTAAAAGTACTTGGAAGTGGTGTTGGCGGAACGAAAGCCGATCGACGATTTTTAATGGAACTTCGTGATGAACTTCAAACGCGTTTAGATGCTCTGCATTCTATTATGGCTGATATTGCACGCGGGACATTGAATCAAACAGCTGCACTCGCGAAAATGAATGATTTACGATATGCCAATAAGTAATTAAGTTTCGATAATCCTGCATAGTTCAAAGAGCAAGTTTTTCAAGCTTTCAGAAATTTTTCGATTAGCCGTTAATTCAGATTTATTTCCCTGCATTATTGTACTGCACTCATTGATGAATAAATTTTCTTTAAAAAAATTTAGATTTTCAAAATCTTCACGTCAACGTCGAATGGATCAACGTGCAATACGTAATCAAGCGAATCTCCAATTGATCGATACAAAACTAAAGGAACTCAAGTTCAATGAAGAAACAGCTTTTACTAATGTTGATCTTACCACATTCACTTGTTGTTTAACATTGAATACTTGTCGAGATATGATGATGGATAGTGAAGATGATGTTATGGGTGTTGGTCTTGTTGTTGAACGACAAGAACATGTTGTCGATGCACCAACCTTAATATCAGTGAAAGATGTCTCAGTAACCATTCTTTCGCGTTCAGCATGTGATGATGCAATTAAAGTGAAACTCAATATTGCAGATGCAGCTCGAATTCATGGAGGTTTCGTTCCATCAAAATCAGCTGCGCTGACTACCAGCACGACACGAACTCAAAACTTAGCAAATAATAACCAATCAGAATTTACTCGTGGTGTTGCAGCAGAACATATCAATACATTTTTACCTTTGTATATATGTGATGCACATTTCGAACGTGTTCAAATCATGTTAGAACCTATACTTGGTTATCTGTTTACACTCGATATAACTGGCTATAGATGTGATCAATTATTAGGTCTCTATTCCATTCTCGGTCAAATGATGAATTCTAGCCCTCGAAACGGATCTGAACGTGAAGAAATGATTCTCTATGAATTTACACGTTTATGTCGTGCTCTTCTTCCACGAACTCTTGAATCTCTCGGCGAAGAAAACGATGTGTTGAAAAAATTCATCGCAGGCCCAACTGGCCGTAGTAAAGCGCATATACAGAATTTGATGACACTCTTCGGTTATATGCACGCATTAGGTATTGAAACTATCGATGAATCACTTCGTTATGCTATTGTTGAAGAATTGTATCGACGTCGTTTTTCTTACATCTATCATGGTACATCAGAAGATGTTATTAGTGAACATATACAAACTTTACTTTACGGTAAAGATGATGAAAATAATGAAACAAAAACCGAAGTAGGTGAGCTATGTTATGTTAAAAGCAAAAATGATAAAACAAATGATGGTCATTTTGCTCAATATGCTCGAGCTGTATTAAAGAAAAATGACATCAATCATAAAATTCCAACAGAAAACATCGATATACAATATGAAATACCTGAACGACAAATAAATTCCATGAATAATAAAATACGTTCGAAAATGGTTGAATTACTATCTCGTTTTTCAACAAAACCAACGCGACATGTTCTTGATCGATTAGGCATTCGTATGATGGATATATCGAATGAACATGAATGCATTTTACTTCGGTCGATGCTGGTTCAATGTTTAAGATTCCATTCCAATGAATCTATCAATGGAGCTGTTTTAAATAAAACGTTTTTTAATGTACAAACAGATTATGAACGTGTTCTTACAGTTGCACATGAAGAATTTGATACTAATCGTCAAAATTTAATAACAAATAAAATCGAACAAATCCGTGTACTTGAACTAGCGCGACGCGCAGTTTTAACAAATGATATCGGTGTATATCTTGGTAGAATGATGGTCTATGCACCAACACGAGGTGGGAAAATATTCGATGCTGTGTTGAGTTTATTACTTGATCGTAGTCAAAAACAAGTACCTTTATTAGCCGAGAAAATATCGATAATATTTACAGGTCGTTATAAAGAACATCGTGATGCTGACAAAGAATTCGATGTATTAAGTAACGGTTTTGCTTGGTTTCCGGATCGGTCGATTATTAATCGTGTACGAGAAGCACTAGGCGAAGATCACTGGAATGATTTAGAACAATTGATGCGAGGTCGTACTTGCGGTCATGTCTATCGGATGTCGGATATTCCAAATCGCCATGGTTTTCACAATTCACATCCGAATCCTAATTTGACTGTCCCATGGGCTTCATAACAAAAAATAAGAAACTTTATTAACTGTTTTTGTTTATTACAATTAGAACAAAATAAAATAAATCTAGATATATAAAGCTAAAGCAGAAGATGAAAGCACTCGTGTGAAGTCGATATGTATTTCTATCGTGATCTGTACTGATACGTCTAAATTTCTAACTCTTATGCACTCTTATAGTTGAATACACCCACTGTCAAAGGTTCACAGCAACTAGTTCAATTGCATCTTGTTTATTAAATTGAATTCTCTTCGCTGGTTTAAATAGTGTAGGCATTTTACATTTTGATGATAATCTGCGATGATCGCTTGTCAAAATAATTTACTCGTTTCGACTTAAATGATGATCTTTTGTTTTTACAACAGAAAATAAATATTAAAAAAATGAATTTAATACTGTTGAACCATGGTTTCTTTCTATAGATATTCTGAGAATTCTATTTAGTGCTTTGCGTATTTGTTTTATTTATAATCATTGTGGATAAAACATTTGACAAAACCTCCATGCTATTTAGTGCTGATTCATGTTTAACTGCATTTGTATTCGCACTTCAAAATGATCTTAAACAAATTCAATTTCGAGATTCACTTTGCATTTTATCTAGGTTTTGTCTCGTGTACTGCATTTAATTGTTCATTTTTATTACAAGCTGTTTTCCGATATTTTATTGTCGTTTATCCAGATTTCATATTTTGGCCATCGATTCGATTTCAAGTTTTGCTCATCTGTTTAACATGGATCTTTAGTTACTTATGGCCTATTGCTTTGTTGTTCACCGATGACATCATCTGCAATGTTGACAATCAAATATGTCAATTATTTATATGTCATGTTGTGCGTATATGATGCCCATCGTATTTGTTATGTTTATATACTTTATATTAGTACGATATGTGAAAGAAATGAGTAAACATGTATTATCTGTAAATACATTAGTTCGCGCACAAAGAGAATTAAAAATGATTCGCCGTATAGTGATACTGTTAATCATATTAATCACACTAGGTTTTCCATATACGATCTTTATTTTTATCTCATTTTTTACTAATCCTCCAAAATATCATTTTCAAATTGCTTTTATATTTATTGATATATCATTGGTATGGGTAATGATTATTTTATTTCAATTCACTGAACCATTAAAACTGTCTATAATGAAAAGAATAAAACGAATATCAAATATGGTAATGGCAACAGTGAATTGAATCAATCAAGTATCGTAACTTAATTTATACTGTATTAAATTTTTTTTGTGGAATGTCCTACCGAAAGATTCATATCAAATAAAAAATGAAGTGTCTGTGCTCTTGCCTTTCTATATTTGATTCTAACAATAGTTGACCTGAAAACCTATTCTACACTTAGGATGGATCAGCCTAATAGAGTGTAAGTGGCACTTTAGATTAAGTTAGTAGATCCATCGAAGCCAGTTCACCACCACATCCACACGCTCAAGAAAGTAAGAAAAAGATATTTGAATGTTACCCTTATTTCACTCTCACCAATAGAATAAAGAGCCGGTGTACCATGTTCACACATATGATTTTCGATTAATTGTAATATTTCTTTTCACTTTTAGAATTCGACTAACCAGATTGCATAGGCCACTAAAATCTACATTTAATATAAAGACACTTATTTCTTATCTATTAGGCGAAAAAATCACTTCGACTATTCGAGTTCAATACAATTATTTCTTTTCGCGTTTGATATGCTTAAGCTTTTTTTGATCATGGAGATACATGTGGGTGTGGGTGAGACTGCTGCAAATGTTGTTTCTTCTGACAATACTCACACCCCACGCACACCCTTTATATGCGAATTTAAGACAAATGACTTTTGCACAATAGTTTATTGAGAAAAATAATAATCACAAAAGCATGTATATATCTACTCTCTATCAATCTAGTACAGCATAAAGACCAACAAGGAATAAATGAAAAATAAACTGGCCAGACATGATTTTCAATAAGTCCCCAGGTCGATCAAAACGGACCACCGTAAGCCGGCGTAATATTACCGTAAACGGTCGTTTTTGCATCGTATTCCGTCGTAAAACAGCCGTATTACTGCTCCTGCTATACGGGGAAAATACGGCTCATAAAACGGGCCGTACTTGTATCGTATACGACCGTTTACTGATCGCTTTCTTCGACCGGGGTCCAGTGAAAAAAATCTACGGTTCGCAATAAGTGGTAATTAATTGCCAACAATGTTGATTAAATAATGCAAGTGAATTATCAAAATGATCCACATTTAATTTTCCAATAAGTATTCCTGCAACATAAAAAGTAAAATTTCTTTGGGAACGTATTCGTGAAAAACATTTACCTATTTTCCACAAACATTTTTTAAGAAAACGAGTAGTTACTAAATCGTTTTTCATTCTCAACTTTTTTTCTATAAATGCCAAATTCTTTTTTTCTAATGCTACTTCAGCTAATAAATCAGCTAAGCGATTGACAGTAACATCATTATCTTCACGAATTGCTAAAGAACAGACCATTTCCACAAGTTCACCGTATTCTAAAATATTTCTTTCTAATGCATTCGATAAAAGATCATGTCCATCAGTTGTTACTGCTAATTGACCTAATAAATCAATTACCAATTGAAGCATTCTAAGTCGATCCTAAAACAAGCGTTAAAATCATAGATAAATACAATTATAATTATCATTATCAATGAACCGAAAGAACGTTTTTTGGCTACTGGAAATTTCTAGAAGCAATTTCCTAAATCTGATAGATAAAATAGCTCAATGCAAAAAATCATTTCCAAATCGATTCTGATCATAAACTTTTTTTTATATGTATTGAAAATAAAAAATGAAGTACAATAATAAAACAGTCAAGTGTCTGGTTTTTTTTCTTTTATGCTGATTATTCATGACTTAACTGAATTTGAAATATATAAAACTGCTTTGTAATCATCATAAAATAAACGAATCCGAAAATCGTTTCAAAAGTAATCTAGTTTTCGTTCGAGAATCTGATTTTTTTAAGTAGAATATGGCTAAAAAAATCGCTGAAACATTCATGCTTTTATTACACTGAATGAAAAATGTATGACTTCAACGGATTAAAACTTCTTCTTTTCTTTTACGTTTATCTTAACTGTTGGAAAATTAGATATAACGTTTTCCCGAAATTTTAACTGTGAAGTACAGCTATTAAACTATAAAAATATACTAAAATGCTTTCTTGATGAAAGTAGATACATACGAGTCGATTGTCCAACGATCAACAATAATAACGATTCCTCAACAAGTGATATTCTTACCTGTTGTGCAATGATTATATATAATGCTGTCGACACAAAGACAACATCAAGAGGAGCCAATCATAACAAAAAACGAGAGAATCATTGTTATATACTAATTGACTTTGTTTTTAATATGAAAAAGAGAAACTAGCGACTCAATGATTAGTCCATTTTTTTTTCATAAAGAGCTTTATATGAGTGGATTGACCTGATTAGTCCTGACCACTTACACTTCATATAAATTTTCTAGCACACAAACATAAAAATATAAATTTAGCAGATCACAAAAAAGTAAGTTACAGTTAGAAGTTACATAAAAAATAAACTAGGGAGAGTTTGAAGAGGTGTTAGAGTCATCAGATTGGTTGGGTTGTCTAGATAGTTTTTGATTTGCGAATTACATTAGTTTGCCGAAGAAGGTGGGTGAGTTTTGGTAGAATTTGATTATGCGGGTGCTAGGTCGACCTCTCGGTAGGGATGGAATGCTGCGTTTTTTCAAATAGTGGTGATGTGTTACGTTGACAATGGAATGATTAGTCCATGCTGCTGTCACAGATATAAGTAAAGAATAAAATAATTACATATTTTGATGACCCATCGATCGGCACTACTTCATGAATATTTTTTCTCAAATGTTCATGTGTAATTAATTTAAAAGGAGAGAAATTATTCAATTCGAAAAAATGAAGATTCTAACAAAATCATATTTATTTCTAAATTTAATTTGAATTCAACTTTTATTTCGTTATAGGTTTAAAATGAAAAACATATTCAGTTATTTCTTCACAGGCTTTTGCAGAAACATGTCTTTTATGTTGTTCTTATAAAGATTTTCAAAAAAGCTGAAATACAGTAGCTCGATAGTATAGCTTTTTTAATTTTCTTACTTCTATTACATTTCTACAACCTAATAACGAAAACTTACTTCTTCCTTTTTTTAAATTTCAACCATTAAGGAGAGAAGAGACGAAGAATATTGCTCTTGATTAAAATGAAATATCATCGATGGTTCGAACAGGAATAGACACTTACCAGGGTCATTTATACGATCCAATAAAGTTTTCTGTTGATCAGTACTCATATCAAAGACAGTTCTAGCAGCCGCATATCCGAAGTTCATAATTAATTCCGTTTGTTTTAAGAAATGTGTACGAGTATCTAGTTTATAATGATACATGGTCGAGATAAACGAATCATTTTCTTGCTCTGTAACTTTTCCCAGATAGAAGACACCCAAATAATTCACTCATATTATGTATTTGAGAAGCATAGGATACACTTCTTACCTGCGCCATTCGAAACCGCAACAACGTCATTTAATGCAGCTGAATTTTCGTCTTTAGTGCTAGTATTCATTGATGGAGATGACGAAGATAACGATGAAGTGCTTAAATCCGATTCCATCTAGAATAAACTGAGGGTTCAGTGAAAAACCAAACAGTAAGGGATCAAAGATTGATCGACAAAGTTCGATTAAAATAATAATACCATGAAGAACGGCGAATTGAAAAGAAAACTTTTTATCTGAACGATAGCTGGTTTTGATTGTCGAAGAAAATTAAACTCAATTTATCCATAGTCTTTTTTATTGATTCTAACACGTAACTTGAATATTCACTGTTAGAAAGTAAAGTAAGAATATGGACTGAACAGCTTTGTTCATTTCGTACACTATGCATGTTTGTTTTCTGTTATAAACCAATAATTTTTCGAGTCCTTACTTTACCACAATTTCAACCCTTTCCTCTTTCTGTTAGTATTTTCTATTCATGAGAGAAACTGTTTTAGTAGTTTTGAATTAAATGTTTATGCGTTTACATTTATGATGTTAATGTATCAATCGGAACTGAAAAATGATCGCTATCATGAACTTATGACGAACCGTTCTAAAACTTAGTGACGGAAAAATGTTGCTGGTATCATTCTTCTCGATCACCAAAAGTTCAATATGTTGAAGAGATCTGCTTATTGATAATATTAGGCACTTTGATCGAAGCACATTGATCTTTTTTATTAGCAGGCTCAAGCTCTTTCCTGGATCATACACTGAATTTAATCTATGTTTGAAAAGAACATTTAATCGAAATAAAATTTTCACTCAAGCACTTTTCTTGATTCAACACTAGCTTTTTCTCGTTGAAACGGTGTGCCGTAGAAAGACCGAAAGGAAAAATGTCGAAAGGAAAAATATCGAAAATGACGAAAGGAAAAATGGCGAAAGAAAAATGTCGAATGGATAAATGCCGAAGAGAAAAATGTCGAAAGGGGAAAAGATCGAAAATTTGCACTAAGATGTTTTTATTCTTGAAATCATAATAGCATCATAGCATAGATCATAGATAAATAAGAGTAAAAAAAGAAATAATTATAAAATGTCATTTTTTCCGTTTAGCAACTGTAAGAGACAAACCATTTAAATACTCCATTACATTAATAAGACCATCATAATATCGTTTATCGAGACAATCTATAACTTCTACTATTGATCATCCAACAAAGTTTCTCAGCTGCTGGGTTAGTTATAACAGAGCGCCGATCTTCTCTTGACCCTCAAACCATAAACGATATTCTATTTGTAAGATCTATTCAAAATATTCTTGAACAAAAAAAAACGTTTTCTCTTAATATTATTCAATCTCTAGTGTGCTGTTGTGTATTAAAACTTCAATAAATAATGTATCAATCTAGTCATGGGCAGGCCAGGCCTACAAAAATGAGGCCTGGTTGGACCTCTGTTGTTTAATAATAAACTAAAGTTTCATCTCGAAACCCTAAAATGGTCATATTTGGCTTATAATCATCAAAGTAATAGCATGAAAATGCAACTTCACTACCGTATCAATTCCGCTATTTCTCTTTTCACAGGTTTCTTACCTGTCAGCATTGATTAATGCTGAGAAAATTCTAGCGAAGAGCGTTGATTAAAGAAAACTACGGCATGCATACCTTTTCTAATGAATATTCTATCGAAATGATCAGTAATGGGTTTTATTTTGAAGTGAATTACATTGAAATAGAAACATGCACTGTTTGTTTTATTATCTTGCTATAAATTTGATGACATAGTAGACTCAACATGAAGATCGTAGAGTTTACTGAGTATCAAAAACTATTATTATAAATCATTGAAAATAATTTATTTGTTTGTTTAATCTTACTTCATGTTTTCTGAGAAAGACGAAAGCATTAACGCATTGAAATATAGGATGTTAGATTTCGCTGAAGAAGCTCAACTAAAAGATCATTAAATAATGGAAAAATTTTTTGTAATGATTGAAAATCGATCACTGATTTATCAACTTTCATATAATATGATATGAATATGGATTTATTTGTATGGAAATGAGTTCTTGTGGCGTCGGTGTAAAGCTCTTGGTTTTGAGGATCTTTGTGCTTTTGGATAAATTTATGCATTCTTCTTTGAATGTTAGTAAGAAAGACTCGATGTTCACGTACAGTGAAATATTCGCATTTAGTTCAATACTTACACCCGGGTGGTAATTGGTCATATTGCTGCTCTTATCTACATTCATATCTTTAGCACTCGCATGCCCGCACCTTCTTCGATTGATGTGTTTATATGAGTATCTGTAAATGGAAGTCATCATGTACACTAGAAATCGGCTGGCTAAAGCAAAGAGATCCTATCATAATCCACTATTACATTCACTGCCACGCAATCATCCATTTCTCGAGAATCGTTGCTCGAATATGTAGGTTATTTCAATTTGCATTATTTATCATGCATCATACGCAATAGGAAAACAATTTTTCCAATACACATATGATCAGTTTTAAACAATAAAAAAGACAAATGGTTCGTTGTCCGTGCTTTTTTTTCGTAGCGAACAATAATATATTCTACAAGTAAATCAACTGACAGTTAAGTAAGAATAATTTAAATACAGATTTGCTTCTAAACAAGCAAATCACTTCTTACTCATCGACGAATCAATTGGCTTCCAGTCATATTTGCTTTTACTATTAATGCGAAAATGAAGTACGTTTTTCTTTGATTAAATAACCATATTCTGTCGTATATTCATGAAAGAAATACAACACACAGATGAGACGAAAGGCAAAATGAGCCAAGAATCACTGAAGAATAATACAAGAGAGAAACAGAGAAGAGAATGGTAATACAGAGAGCTAGTGCTCATATCGATGAGTGTATGTCAGATAAATCTCCGTCACAACTTCAACCATAATTTTGTTCATTATGACTTACTTCAATCTTCTGACACTTTCCAAAAAACATATGTTAGAAAAAATATTAATAACGCCGAATTTTTATTATCAACATCTGCTTTTGCTATTGTTGTTGCTCATTTTGACATTCTTATATCATTGTTTATAGCTCATTATATCAATGCATTTTTTTGTGGAACTCACATATATTTTCGAAGAAAATGGTTAGTGTAAGTTTAAAAGCGAGATTTTTGCGGCTCCTCATTCCCTCGCCATTACAGACATTAATGAGTTAAAAATCATGCCAATTAGGAGCTTCACTAATTAGGCTGCTATTCCTTCCTTTTTTAATTACAGGCTACACGAAAGAAGCAACGCTGGCCCATTACAGACCATAGAAACTAACCTAGGGTACCATTACAGATCATAGAAACTAGTCTCTGCCATTATTAAATATACGAGCTAGCAATTAATACTCCACTACAGATATAAGCAAATAGGTAATGACCTACTTATAGGTTTTGGAAATCAAGGTAGATTTTTCAGGTGAACTATTTCGAATTGTTTTAGTAAGCCTAAGAGATACATGTGAGTTCTACATTTCAGCCCCTAAGGGGCTACGCCAACAAGCTTTTTTGTTTTCACTGTATGCGCATAATAGTGACATCTTGTGTATAGAACGACTTTAGATATTCATCATCAAAGAAAAAGCCGCTTTCGTAGACTGAACCCGACGTTTTTGTCGTATGAACAGTGGATTTCAGAAACAATTCCGTCAAATCTTAGCCAATGCTATAGACGCTTTTGAATATATAAGAAGTATAAACTCGCAGTGTAACATGATGCAAAAATACATCCACTTATTACCTGGATTGTTTTGCTTCACATGAATGCATATCGAATCATTCGTATAGAAGTAACGTTTGCTGTTTTGATAGCGCAGAATCAGTATTAGTTACTCTGTCGAGTTTAGTTTTTGCATATTTTCGTTTGTGATAATTTCTCTTCTCTCATTCTCTGACTAAATTACGCTCACCACTGAATAAGGTTTGAAAAACAAATGGCGAAATTGCGTTTATATCGTTTGATCCACGTGAAGAAAAAACGAGTGTATTTTTTTCATTTTTCTTATCTCTACTTTATATCTAGTGTGCTATAAAATGACATGTTGATTCTTCGTATACGCTCTCATTTCTCATTTTTGCATATTATTTAGTTAATAACTTTCGGTGCATAAAGTATGTCGAATACTGATGTTGCTGAGCAAGCTGCTATGCCAGTCATGAGTGAGCCACCGGCTGCTGCACAACGATGGGAACGAGATTTTTCGCTGACAAAAACTGATAATATTGCATATGATTATATTATTGTTGGCTCGGGCTCAGCAGGTGCCGTCTTAGCTAATCGTCTGTCAGAACAAGGTGATAAACGTGTTCTTCTTATTGAAGCGGGTGGTACCGATACCATGAACGAAATACACATACCAGCTGGATGGTGAGTGATAATATAATAAAAACAATTATTCACAAAGAAAAATATACACCGATTCGTTTTTGTTCTAGTGGCAACTGTCAGCGTGTTGACTTTGATTGGCAATACAAGACTACTCCTCAATTTCATTCACACTTTGGTTGTGTCAATCACCAGAGTAATTGGCCACGTGGTAAAGTGTTAGGCGGTTGCTCTTCAATAAACTACATGCAATATGTTCGTGGTGTTTCACATGATTATGATAATTGGCAATTACCACAATGGTCATTTCAAGATATGTTACCGTATTTGAAAAAATTAGAACGTGCTGATTCGAACAAAATTCCGTTAAATGAAAAATATCGTAACCATGATCATGAAAAAGGCATGATGGACGTAACAATACTTGAAGATTCAAATCCAATAAATCAGCTCTTCATCGAAGCATGTCAGAAGAATGGATTTCGTGAAACTAAAGATTATAATGCTGAAGAAAATCTCAGTGGATGTGTAGGAATGTCACAAATTTCAACAAAAGAAGGCAAGCGTTGGTCAACAACAAGTGGTTATCTCTTGCCAGCAGTTAAACGAGAAAATTTTGATTTGCTAATAAATGCACATACTTGTCGAGTGGTATTCGATGAGCAAAAACAAGTAACTGGTAAGTACATGTTAAAGCCAACTGACGAAGTACGAGCCGGTTTCGGCAGTTTTCTACATATTTTCTACCGTTCCCTACAGTATCTGTTCTTTGAAGTTTATATATCAATCCAGTTAGAAAGTGACGATCACTTTTTAACGATGTTCTAGATGACATATGTTGCAAAAAATTATCATCCAGATAAAAAAAGAAACGATCGCTTGCGGTTAAAAAGCGACACGTAAACGAACCGTATAGTATTATCATAATGGATACAGAATCATGACACGTATAGGATAGGACTATATAAGACGAAAATACGGTACCATTTACAGTGCCATGTTACTGTGTTCAATACAATGGGGGAATATTATGTGTTTATTGTCGTAATTTGGCCATGTTATCACTTTTTCCTGACGAAAAAATGATTGTAAACGGTGCCCATTCTGATTGGCACGGAACTTACTTTTCTGAAGTTTTACATTGATTTCTATTGAACAATGATGTTAAGCGTAATACTCTTCATATTTTTAGGTGTCATTGTTAAACGTAGTAGTTCATTGGATAACGAAGAGTTTATTAAAGGTAAAGAAATTATATTATCAGGCGGCACAGTTGGAAGTGCTCAAATTCTTCTTCTTTCTGGAATTGGCCCTCGAGAAGAATTAGAGAAACTTCAAATACCGGTGATTGTTGATTTACCTGGTGTTGGTAAAAACTTACAAGATCATCTTATGACTCTCCTAATCTATCAAACTGGAATTCCAACACTTTCCGCTAGTGATCTCACACCTGAAAACTTACAAAAATGGGCAATTCAAGGAAGAGGTCCTTTAACGTCATGTGTTGTTGAATCATTAGCTTGGTGTCAAATGAGCGGGCATGGTAATTCCATTCTAAAATTTACTTTTTTTATTAGCTTGCATTTCTATCGCTTCAGATAAAACACAAGCACCTGATATTCAAATACACATGGCACCGCTAACAATAGACGCTGAACTTTTTAAGAACTTTAACTGCAAACCAGAAGTTTTTGAACAATATATGAAACCACATTTAACTGATGAATTGCAATGGACTATTTTATTTTTACCTACGCTTTTACATCCTAAGTCAAAGGGTGAAATTACACTTGCAAGTCGTGATCCTCTTGTACATCCAATAATCAATCCAAATTATTTAGAAGACAAAGAAGATGTTCGTAAACTGGTTGAAGCATGTAAATTAGCTGATAAAATTTCTCGAACTGAACCATTGAAGGTTACACTCAAAAGTATGGCAAAAGTAATGTATATTGATCAAGTACCAGAAAATGAAGATGAATTTTGGGAATCGTATATTCGTAAGTATACTATAACAGTTTATCATCCGATTGGCACATGTAAAATGGGAAAAGAAGAAGATTCAATGACAGTTGTCACTCCTGATACACGAGTTAAAGGCGTTCGAGGCCTACGTGTGGTCGATGGAAGTATAATGCCCAGCCTTGTTTCAGGCAATACAAATATTCCAATAATTGCATTGGCGGAGAGAGCAGCAGATTTAATTAAACAAAATGCTTAAACGAATTACACTTGTAGTTTAGTACTAATAGAATAAAATTGATTAGACTTGGAAATTCTAACAATAATTTATAAATAGATTACGTCTATTGAACGTTTTGTTTTTATCTTATTAAAATATTCAGAAGTTGTAGGAATGAAAAAAAACTCCGCTTGAATTCAATAATTTTTTATAGACACTAGGCAGATTTTATCAAGGACAGCCTGATGCACTGTCGATCTTGTAATAGAACATTTAATATATCAATGAACAAAAATGCTACAATTTTGTCAGCAACAGATCTTGTGTTGAAGGTCAAGACCAAATTTAGACTATTTTGATCAATAATTATTTCATAATACTTAGTATATTGCGACAGTAAGGACGGTTGTGGACAAGCATGTGGATTTTCTGTTCATCGACATCAATACGCACACGCACAGCCTTCCCACAACTATTTTTTCTTATTTTATGAGTCGTTTGGAAAGTTCCTAGTGAAGAAAAACGGTGATGGATGGAAGAAGTCCTTCTTTTATTAAAAGACTGACTTGATGAGGCAATGCAAGATTACTCATTGATACGAAAAACAGGAAGAATACCAAGCACAAGCGTAAATATTCTAATTATAACAAAAAACAAAGAAACACAAAAAGATACATTTTGTACAAAATGAAAACGGCGAGCAGAAGAATGAATGAGCATGTGTATAATCATATACAGAAGAAAATAATTAATTTCATTAGTTCATGGTAACTCTTGCCAAACTTTCCTGACATTATTATTTGTTGATCTATGAGGGTGTGGATGTGAGTGTGGTTTTCAGTCTTACCTTTACCCACACCCACACCCGAAGTTAACTATGAACGAAATATTATTAATGTACTGTAGACGAAGACTTGCATGCAAAAAGCATTTCATCTACTCATATTAAATCTCATATTCATTGTCAATATTGTATTTATTTTAGAAATGATTAATTCTTTTTTTGGGCGTAATTTCGAGCATAAAACAAAGAATTATTGGTAATAATGATTACAAATTAAAATAAAATGGAGAACATCTTTCAATGTAATATTAGCCTTTATTTTAGGATAATACATTTAAAATTATTATTAATTGTTTTTTATTTTCTTTCTGAATAAAGCTGACAAGTTTATTTTTAACTTTTCATTTTTGAAACACTGTCTTCAAGTGAAATATGTCATATCTCAAAAGTATTAACATTTTTCTAATTTTACTTCAATCATTGTTCTTGATGCTAAGATTGATTTTGAATGATATAAAGTGTGTTCACTATATTAAATATTTTCATTCTGCCATTTCATTAGTTTTCTGTGAAAAAATATATAACGGTTTAAAAGAGTACTGATAATGACATCCTTCAATCTGTTATATTCATCAAGAAGTGACATCACTCTTATGCATGTATGATAGTTTTTCAATGGGAGTCTACGCAATAATAACAAATCAGAGAATCGCTACACGTGTTTAACTAGAAATTTAGATGAATTAACATTTAATTTATTTTAAAATATATAGGGTGGGTGTGGATGTTTATATGAAGGATCACACTCACACCCACACACCTATCAATTCGGAAAAAGCATTAGGACAGCATTTGCACCTACAGAAAAAAAATTTTAATTATAATTCAAATAATAAATTACAACTGCCATAGGACTGTTATGTCACTATGGCAAAAAAGCAAAAACTTTTTTAAATAAACAGGTCTGCACCCTATAGTAATGTACAGGAAAATTTGAAGAAAAATGTAAAAATAAAGTGAAAAAACGAACAAATTCGCATAAATTTTTATCCCTGATTCTAGTAAGAGAAGAAGAAGAAAAAAAGAAAATGATGCCAATGTGACTGCTGTCGCTGTAATACCTCTAAATAGTAAGAAAGAAAGAAAATAACGTCAATGTATGCACTGTAATACTTCTCAATAGTAAGAAAGGAAGCAGAAAAGAAAATGGTGGCAATGTATCCACTGAAAATCTTGAGGGTGTGGGTGCAGGTGAGTGTTGATCTGTGCGAGTGTAGAACAAGATGATCAGACTCACGCTCATGTTCATACCCATAAGCACACCCACTGTAAAATGAGAATTCTCATTTCATAGTGGGTGTCAGAGCTAGGACAAGTACGAGTTCTGCAAGTAAAAGTACGACTACTTTTGTCCGAGTACTGGTAGGTGTTCTTTTTCTTCTTTTTGCGATGTATATGTGGCAGGCGAGTTTGGAATTTAGTTGAGTTTGGAATAGCTTTTTCTTTATTTTTTTAATAGAATTTTTGTTGAGATCCGCCTTTAGAAAATTTTGTATTGATAATTATTCCTTCCATCTTTTTACATGATTTTCATATAAATTCAACTCTCTGTACATTTGTTAAACTATGGGGATCTGTGGACATTGAATTTATCTGAGAAAAATATTTTTTTTTATTTATACAACTTTTATAAATCAAATATAAAAATGTACTAAACATCCTTGTAATACCATCTGATGATTAATTCAGAGGAGATTAATTATATTATGACTCATACCGGTAGAATTTAAATAAAACAAAATTTTTATTATTATTATTATTATTATTATACATAATGCACAAGGTAATCATTTACCTATAATTTCTTTCATTCATTCGATTCAATTTAATAGTAAAATCTTTTTTCCTTTTAAATATATTTTATTTTATGAAACACGAGCAGGGAAAAAAAGAAAAAAAAAGAAATTTAAATAATTTTATTTCGCGCATTCCAATCTCAACTGAAATTCTCATGTCAACTGTGATATATGTATACAAACGATGTGGGATGTACTTAAAATGCGCATGAACCAAAAATAAAATAAGAATGAACATTACTATGCGCAGAGTTGAGCAAGGGCGCGGCACGGCACGGCGCTGACGTACAATTTAAAAGTACATTACCTCAGTATGACTCATTGATCTTCAAATTTCAACGTTGGCGTATGTGACACATTTGAACTAGGAAACTGCGGGACCCCCTTTTTTGGTCCCGGTCCCGACATATTTTTTTCTGAACCCGGTCCCAGTCCCGATTTTCTGAAACACATTCCTATTTTTAACTATGTTTTTTCTTCAGAAGTGTGCGACATCTAATTTTTTATAATTTGCTTTGCTATATAATAGACCGTCATAGTTAGCTACATGGACTCAGCGTTTCTAACAGCAACAGCAGGTATCAGTCTTTGTGACAAAGTATCCATGATACTTGCGATATCGATTTGATACTCTGTTTTACACTTTGCTCATAAAAACAAAGTATCAAGCGGATACCTGCTGAGGAAAATTTACACTTTGCTTTTCATTCTATTCTGTGGAAATTTCGATTTCCTCAATTTTTTATCAATATAGTGATTCATAAAGACATGCATAGTGAAGAAGAATATGAAGTTGAAGGGGTTATGTGCTGAGTAGATACAAAATTGTTTTCTTTTCGGTGAATATTACAGTGCGTTGTGCGCACTGCGTACTTTGTTTGACTGCAGCCGCCATGACTGAGTGGATATGTTATTCGACACATATTCACAAGGTGTTGTGTTCAAATCACAGTATCACCAACCATGGAATAACCCTGAACAAGTTGCTAACGGCTAATTGTTCCGGATGACTCATCCGATAGCGTATCGATTATATCATTAGTCAGTATGCAGAGTCAAAACAATAACTTCAACATAGATGTCACGGTCACGTGATCCTATGATGATCGCCAACCCATAATCATTAACGGGGGAAGTGTTGCACAAATGGGGTGTAGATACCGTCGTCTGTAAAAGAGAAAAAACGATAGAACCTGGCTGCTTGTGGACCCTTTAGCGCCGGCCCCAACGGGCGATAAGCCTATGGGAGATATTATTTATTATTTTGTTTGACTATCGTTTTATTTCTGTTTCTAACTTATCGATGAAATACTAGATAAACGGTTATTTTTTATGTAATTTAATTAGATGCTATTCTTTGTGCACTTTTTATTTGAACTTAATAATAACAAATACGTATTGAAAATATCTTTTTCTGAATCTAAATCGAACAATATATACTTTGTAAACTTTATGATACTTTGTTTTTTCAAACAAAGTATCATTTTTGCACTTAGCTTTCGAAAATACTATGCAATTTCATACTTTGTTTTAGATTTCTATTAGAAACGCTGCGTGGACTATTTCTTTTTAAAGTAATTCAATTAAAAATAAATAATCAAGACTTTCATGTATTTAGTTTATCGTGTTGCTTTGAAATTTTGAATGTTTATTTATTAAGATTTTCTTGTATTATAAAATATTTGAAAGGGAAAATAATAAAATTACTACTTGAAAATAAAAGAATCAAGTGCTATAGACGACTTTTTTCTTTCGAAAAAGTTTGCGCGGGACTGGCTAAAAAATATTTAGTTCCGGTCCCAGTCCCGGTTCCACTATAAATTATTTTTGGTTCCGATTTTAGACCCATCGGGACCGGTGACTGTTTTGCAGTTCCCTAATTTGGACGTCACATATAAGAATTTTTCTCCTCGGCTATTCATTTTGATCGTTTTTAAAATTATTTCAATTTTAGATTAAAAATGAATGGCCATAGTACTCAGAAAACAAAATCATTGTTTCAACGTTTATCACAAACAATTGTACCAACACATTATGATTTGACCATTCAACCAAATCTTGACACATTTAAATTCAATGGATATGTTAATATACATTTAAAAGTCAGTTTTTTAGTTTTTTAGTTTTCTTTTTTTCTCGTTTAATTCTTTTTTTCTCTACGCAATTAGATTAAAGAACCGGCAGGTAGTATTGTACTTTATGCAGCTGATTTAGAAGTTGATAATGCGAAAGTAAAATCAACTGCAAATGGTAAATTTGTTTGATTCTATTTTTACCTTGTTTTAATTTTTCTTTATAGATGAACAATTAGGTAAAATTGAATTTGATAAAGAAAGTGAACGTATTACAGTCAATTTCGATAAGAAGCTTGAAGTAAATGATGATTTGTTTTAATAGAAATATTTTCAATATTCTTCATAGACAGGTGACTATGAATTAGCTTTCAAATTTGCTGGTGAAATAAATAATCGCATGATTGGCTTCTATCGAAATAAGTATACAACACCTGATGGTAGTGAAACTCGTTATGGGGCTAGTACACAATTTGAAGTAAAAGCCTTTTTATTTTTGTCTTCGTCTAATGTATTATATTTATTTAGCCGGCTGATTGTCGACGCGCATTTCCATGTTGGGATGAGCCAAATTTTAAAGCTACATTTGATATAACATTAATAACACCAAAAAATCTTTGTGCTATTTCAAATATGGTTTGTAATTCCGAGAAAATTAATGTAAATAAAGAGATTTTTTCTCTTACTTAGCCTGTTAAATCAGAAAATGAATATGTCAATGATAAAGAATGGAAAATAACAGCATTTGATCGTACACCAATTATGAGTACATATCTTGTGGCTTTTATTGTTGGTGAATATGATTATGTTGAAACAAAAGATTCCAATGATGTTAGTATGAAAGTTTATACATTAGTCGGAAAGAAAGAACATGGAAAATTTGCACTGGATGTGAGATTATAGAAGAACAAAAGAAATAATTAGTAAATGAAATGTCTTTTTTAGACAGCAGCAAAAGTTCTTCCATTTTATGCAGATTATTTTAACATTAAATATCCCATTGCTAAAGCTGATCAAATTGCTATTTCAGATTTTCCTAGTGGGTAAGAAATAACTTGAATAGATAAAAAGTTTTATATTAATTTCTATTTTTTTTATAGAGCAATGGAAAATTGGGGTGTAAGTTAATGTGTTATTTTTGTTTTTGTTTAATAATGATACTATTTTGTTTTTGATATTTAGTTAATAACTTATCATGAAACAGCACTTTTAATTGATCCAAAATTTTCATCCGTGGCTTCACGACAACGTGTAGCTAATGTTGTTGCTCATGAACTTTCACATCAATGGTTTGGCAATTTAGTAGTATGTATTTTATTGTTTGTACAATATAATTTTCAATGGCAATTCTACTATTTTTGTTTTCGTCTTTATAGACTATGGATTGGTGGACTGATTTATGTAAGTTTAAGAACTTTATTTATTTATCTTATCCTTATCTTATGTTATTAAAGGGCTTAATGAAGGATTTGCAAAATGGATTCAATTTTTAGCTGTTGATAAATTCTATCCTGAATTTGATATTTGGACACAGTTTGTTGCCGATATATATGCAGGATTTCTTATACCAGATGCTTTTAAATCGTCACATCCAATTGAAGTACCTATTGGTAAGTTTTTTTAGTTTGTATATTTTTTGTATATTGATTATTTTGATTTCAATATTAAGGTCATCCAGCTGAGATCGATGAAATTTTCGACGTTATTTCATATTCAAAAGGCTCATCAGTTATTCGTATGTTACACGATTATATTGGTGATGATGCTTTTCGAAACGGTCTTCATAATTATTTAATGGAATATAGTTATAAAAATACAATTACTGAAAATCTTTGGTTACATTTAACTAAAGCATCAAATAAACCAGTTAATGAAGTTATGTCATCATGGACACGTCAAATGGTATGTTGAATATTCGTTTCAATATGAAAACATTTTTTTGCTTTTGGTTAATATTAACCGGATCAATTATTACAGTAATCTGTAAATGACCTTTTTTATGCTCTATTATGTCTATAGAACACGCCCACTATCACTGACCGTAAAGATCTCGTAATGCTGCCATATTCTGTCCTGCTAACCTATTGTATTTCACCACAAACGAACCGTACTCTTTGATCAGAGTACAAGGAATTTATTTCATACGTATATGTTGTATAAGAAGTCAAAGTCTATTTGCATATAGGCTCCGTGAATTCGATACACTTAATCTGAAGAAAATGTTTTTCAACTGCTAGGATATAATCTTCGGAATCAGATACTAGAGATGTGCAAGATAAGCTTTTTTCGCACTTTCTACTTTCATTGAAGAGCTTCCTCTTATTCTATCCTGCAGAGCCTCTTTCCTACCCTGCACATCGCTAAAATATTCAAGTCAATATCCCATAGCTTCTCACTATTTTATTTACAAGTATAGTTTTAACATTATTTTTCTAAAATAATTTGATAATTAAATTTTGCAATTTTTCTTAGGGTTATCCACTTTTAACTGTAACTGAAGAACAAACAGATAAAAATCGTGTAATTAAAATAAAACAACAACGTTTTATTGCTGATGGTAGTGTTGATGAGGAAAAGCTTCAATGGAAAATTCCCATCACTGTTTTTACAAAATCGAATCCAAAACAAATTGCACAACAGGTTCTAATGGATGACCCAGAAATAACAATAAAATTAGATAATATTTCTGAAAATGATTGGATTAAATTAAATTATAATGCCATTGGTCTTTATCGTGTTAAATATGAATCACAAACATTAGCACGTCTTAATGAACCAATTGTTAAAAAAACAATAAGTCCACAAGATCGTCTCATGATACAAAATGATCTTGCTGCTTTATGTAATTCTGGTCATCAATCATTTGTTGATTATCTTAAATTTTTACCATCATATACAGATGAAGATAATTTTACAGTATGGAAATCAATCGGTAAAATCGACAGCACTCATTTGTTTTTCATTTGTTAAAATTTTATTTTAGCATCAAATATCGGTAATTTATCATCAATACTTGAATATACAAATTATTTTGACGAATTTAAAAAATATTGTTTAAATATATATTCATCAATACAAAAGAAACTTGGTTGGGAGGCAAAACCAAATGAAGATCCACTGTCAACTATGTTACGTCCAATGATATTAGGTATTGTCGGTAAATCTGGCGATCAAGATTTAATTAATGAAGCTAAAAAGCGCTTTGAACGTCATATTGCTGGCGATTTAATTGATGAAAACATTCGCGGAGCTGTTTATGTTATTGTTTCACATTATGGAGATGAAAGTACACACGAAGCACTTCGTAAAGTAATGAAAATAATTTTTAAAAGGCAATATTTTATATTTGTTTTATTTCTTTGTATATGTTCAGTTATACGTTGCTGCAGATATGGCTGAAGAAAAAGCTCGATTACTTCGTTCAATGGGTCACTCAATTAAACCGGAAATGATCGAAAATACATTAAAATTTATATTTGAAGGCGTAAGTTTAATAATAGAATCATTTATAATATTGTTTTCTTCTTCGATTGTGTAGAATAATGTACGAATGCAAGATTCAATAGTTGGTCTTGCTACTTGTACAACAAGTCATGAAGGGCGTGATATAGTTTGGAAATTTTTACAAAAAAATTGGAAAATGCTTGTCGAACGCTTTGGTGAAAAGAGTCGTTTTCTTATTCGTTTTGTTGAAGTAAATTATTAGTTTTTCATATTGAAGAGAGAATTTCATTCAATTGATTGTGATTTTTAATTTAGTATGGTCTATCGGATTTTGCTGATGAACAAACGGCAAGTGAAATAAAATCATTTTTTGATACGATGAATACAGCAATCGTTGTACGACCAATAAAAAAAGTACTTGAAACAATTCATATGCGTTCGGAAGTACTTAAACGTGATTCCAAAGCAATTGAAGGCTATTTAAAACAACCATAGTAATTATATGATATTCAATATCAAGCGTCTACCAAAACAAGAAAACTATTATTTTAACTAGATGGTGTTCGAGTTTCACTCCAAAACGAAACGCGGTGCGAAGCACGATATACGAGTTAGCATAAAAACTATCTCATAGAATAAATATGAGTAAATTTTTACATGATCGGTAGCCAATTAGTTAATTCCTGGCAAGTTTACACTGTTTGAAAAATATCCGTCTGTTTCGCATATTGTCAAGCGAAAAATCATAATGTGTTTGATCAGATGATTAATGTCAAGGCTAATGTGAAAAACTTCTTATAATTAATCGAAAAGATGCCAGTAATTGTACATAGACGCGTATTATTAGTGCTAGCGATAATTAATAGCTGCTAGCATCAGCGGCAAGTCTCGATGTGCTCGGATCGACCTAGATGGTATTCGAGTTTCACTCGTATACGAAATGCGATGCGAAGCTCGAATCGGATCTACTACGAAAAAATTTCAATTCGAAGAAATATTTCACTCTTTTAATGTAGACATGATCAAATTCATCTCTAGGAAAACTCTATTTATACTTCGCGATATATTCTTAAAGAACGGTTTCGATTGATTGATTAATTATCTGTATGATTCATTATCCATAGTCAGCTGCGGATAGACATACGTGTGGCTAGCATTTGCTTATGACGTCATTGTAATTATGGCTAAATGAAGGCCAAGTCTCACCCATGGGATAAAAAATTAAGATATATTCACTGCGAAACGCGTTAATGCTGGCCAATTTAACGTGTTTCACAGCGTTTCCCATGGTAGCGCAGGCGTAAAACTAATTTTCCCATTTACTCAAAACGCGCTTGGGAGCCACTATTTCCGAATGAAAACGAAAATTATATCATCTCACGGCGTTTTTAACCGATTCAGCAGCTGCAGAACGCATTAAACCGGCCAGCATTAACGCGTTTTGCAGCATTAAAAAGTAACGAAATTTTTCCGATGGGCACTACATCGCATCGACTAACTGAAATATGCGATCCATATTTTACTTTGCCCAAACCGAATTCGACAGGAGAAATCGGACAAAATTTGTATGACATCGAGATTTTAATGTTACTAACACCGTTTCAACGAGCATCAGACGAAATTCCGTTCTTGAGATCATCGCGTCACAAGAATACTGAATTTGGATGCGTACGCAACGAACTACAGAAATGCTATGCTTCGCATCGCATTAAAACATTTTCGCCAAGCATCGCTATACAGTACTTCGCACCGTAAAAATTTCATTTTTTTTCTCTTTACTAACTATATTGTAAACGTCTTCATTTACTAAGTAATATTTAAGTAGTGTACGTAAATGAGAGGTATCTGACGCTGAAAGCTCGTCAACAACTGTATGAATCGATTCCTATTGAGTCAAGTACTGCAATCCGACCCGACCCGCGGGCGGGTGCAGGTTCACACTCTGTCGGATCGGGTTGAGTTCGGGTTTGATTTAAAATTTTGTCGGGTTTTTGTCGGGTACCATTTTTCATAGCATATGTTGCTCCCATCTATCTTTTACTATGTTACATTATCATGGTCTGCGGTTCCCCTCGTGTCGGTAAAAGTTCATTGATTAATGCTTTATGTGGACAAAAAGTAGCTGAAACTGGAGAAGGCTTTGTCTCGGTTACACACACTGTAAATAAAAAGAGTAGAATAATAAACCCTTGCCCTTTCTACAAATCATGCTAAACCCTTGAAGGGTTTATGAAACGAAGGGTATATGAAAAAAAGATGATACAAGAAAAAAAATGGTTTATTAATCTGAGATTTAGGGAGAAGGGTATATGATTTTATCTCCAAGGGTATTTTAATATGCGGTTTCACAAGAAGGGTTTATTACTTTTGTACTAAGGGTATTTTATTCTACGGTCTCGAGAAAAGGGTTTATTACTTTTGTACTAAGGGTATTTTATTCTACGATGAGGGATTTATTGTTCTACTCCATCATCAAAAAGGGTTTTTTATTCTTCGTTCAAAGGATTACACTTTTTCAACTGACATATATATATCATGAAAATTTCTCACAGGGCACTTCAAACAAATTAATATAATAAACAAATTAATCCAATCATTTTCTCACAATGCTGCCATTCATGCATCGATGCACTTTTCATTTCGTACCTGTTTTGTAAAAGATAACGGTATGATAAAGAGGCGCTAATTTCCCTAATAAATTTTGAATCATTTCGAGCTAAACTTCAATCCACACATTGTTTAAAAATCAAAATCAGATGGCTTCACGTGAGCAACTGCATACAAAAACTTTGAATTAAATCAATATGAAAGAAATTATGGTGATTGAGGATTTATTCCAAACTCGCTGTGGTATTCAGAAAAAAAATTTGTTTTTACATCCATCCAAGAGAACCAATTAAAATGGGCCTTTTGCTTCAATATATTTATATTGTTCCTTTATTTGGTTGAAAATAAGTTCAAAATAATGTAAGTAATAACATTTCAAAAATAATTTCAGTTTGTCTTTAATTTAGGTAAGTCGCCAC